GAACATCTTTGTGTAGCAAACGCAAACTACCATTTATAAGAATGTCGTGATTCATCCATGTAAAAAAGCTCTGTCTTTTTGGGGCTAAAGATGCATGCTACATGGAAATAATGCATGTGCTCTTCATGCTGGTCCAGAGAAGCACTGACAAATTACATCAGTGTGGGTGATATTATTATATACCATATTATGTACTCCATATTACTGAGAATGTTCTTTTAATATAGAAATTCTTTGTGAACTATTAAACACGTTAAGGATGATCACAGTCTCTGAGACTTGGTTAGAATATGTGAACAGTTTAAAAAATATATTTTACAAAATGTTTAAAGATCTGATACATTTAACAGTGCAGTTCTCTTTATTGTTGGTGCACAAGCACATTTAATGATTTCTTAATTCACCTTCACTGGGCTTTTACTCAGTTATGCTTTGTACAGGTCTGGGTTCTTACCTTTCCATCTAGACAGCATTTGTTTGAAATTTCTTCTGCATGTCCTAATGGTTTCAGTGTCTGTTATTAAATCTGTATTTAATTCTACTTAATTATATAGTAATTAATACAATTCAATCATTGATACAATTTTAAAAAATACAATTTCAATTTTTCTGACATTTATTGCACACACTCTTATGTGAATTTACGGTATATTTAGCTTTATGTTATATAATTAAGTAAATGTACTGTATATACAGGTTACAGGTATATTGATTGCATTACTCATTTGTTGTGTTTTTAATGCCTTTCACTGTATAACAAAATTATAACAAAAAATATATTGAGCAGGATTGTACTATATACTGTGTGAACAGCACAAGGCATTATATTTGTATTCTGTACAAAATAAAGGATGATATATAATAATATGGTATTGCATATTCCTATTTCATTAATGATAAATTAACCAGTAGACAGAAATTGAAAATAAGGGGAAGTGCATTTAAAATTGACCATCGCAGAAGAATCAACTGAACTAACTCCTTTTGTTCAATTAGCTATTAGCACCCAAATGAGCTAGATGGTCTGACTTTTCTGACTTTCACTTATGTAAACATAATGAATTAAGCAATGCACTGTAACTTTCACGTATTATTAAAGTTATTAAAACATTTTTCACATGCTCATGATCAGATGTTTTTCGCCAATTGAAAACTAATTCATTACACGATACAGCCGGAAAACTGGTCCAGGCGAGGATAATTTGTTGTTTTTATATCAATGTGTATATCTTCAAAATTTATTTCATTAGGAAATTTGAATCGAGAGTCTAATCAATATATACAGTACCATGATTTGCCATGATAAACATTACAAATAACATCAAACAAATCTTATTTCCTCCACAGACAAAATACCTACAGTGAATGAACAGATATCTGAATACAGCAATTGCATATTAAAAAATTTCAGTTCTTTTATTTTTAAAAGTCAGTATCAACAAAAAATGTGCCTTCATAATTGACTGAGATCCCAGTGACAGAAAACCCAAAATACTTTGAATAATACTAAGTTAAATGGAAAAAAAATACAATAAAATGGTACTGAAAATGAAAATATAAAGACGTGCCAAAAATCTAAGAATTTAAAAATATCAGTTTAATCAAGAAATACCCGTTCCCTTTTGAACAAAAATGTTTGTATGTATTGTTCAAATTATTCCACAAGATGGAGCCAGATGATGACAAAAGATTTTAACTTAAACTTTGACAGCCACATACAGTATATTTTAATATACAATATATTGTACCAAGACACTTCAGCACCATCTCACTTTATGGATTTCAGTTTTGTATTATTTTCTAGAGGCAAACATTTGCATATTTCTAAATCAAACAAGCATTAGATACAAAATAAGGAAAATGACACAAGACATGCAAACAGACAAGGAAAACGGATAAGAAGAGGTTTTTTTAGGTAACTGTCACCTCAAAGGTCAATCCTATAGCAGACTTCATGGAGCTTTCAGTAACACTGTTATAAAGCTGGAAAACAAACATTTTCTGACTAGTCATGAACTCCAAAGAAATGTAACTTCGACACCATGAATAGAAATTGATTTGTAAATTTACCAAACTCTGATAGAAGGTTCTGAAGTTGCAGACATTAAAAATCTAACCAACTATCAGCATGCTTTGGTCATCTTTATATAAATAATAAGCCACTCAATTTTTTTTCCAGTTTTGACATAAGGCACTTTACTATATTAAGTAATATCTTTAGTATATTAAGTTTTATTCTTTTGAAATTTTAAAACAACTAGAATTGCTGTGCTGTACAACCTCAAAATATTATTTTTATAACATTATAAATGCCAAAAAAGGGAAGCACGTGTTATAAAATGGAAATACACCCAAATGATATATAATCATACTGAAAGACATGGTTCGGATACTGGATTGAGAAAACAAAGCACTACAATTACAGAACCTGGTGACATTATATTTGTGTAAAAACAAATACAACTGCAAATTCAAACTGGACAAGAAAAGAGAACTGCAGCTGGTCTGGAAATAAATTTACAGAAAACTAAAGCAAACCTGAATATATTTTTCTCACAAGACAAATGGAATACATGGTGTGATCACAGAAGAAGCCAACAATTACATATACTGTTTTTGACACAATACTATCAGCTGGAAATTAGATGTCTGAAGTAAAGAGTCAATGGGCTGAAGTGCGTCTGTGGTATCAGGCACATTCTGAAGGAGCAACTGCCTCTGTGCCTGAAAAGAAATGTGCTTGACCCACCTGTGTTGGCAGTACTAACACACAGATGCACAAGGACACTGAATGCATCAATGGTCTAAGACTGCTTAACATCTCAAGTAAGTACAGCCTGATGTGTGCCCAGAATAATGACAGGATAAGGCAAGAGAAACAAGCAAATTCAAGCCTAAACAAAACCATGTGGCACCATTGTGGCATCAAAAGCGAGCAGGCTTGGCAACAGTCTGGAGACTGCCAGACCACGGAAATACTGAAGTGGATCCAGAGAGCCAGAGACGAAGATGGCACAATACAATCCACAAAATCATCAGGGGTAATTGTACAAGGGTAGCTGAATAAAGGGGCTTGAGGTGATGGCAATACATATATATAAATCATCATCGTAGTCATCACCCTTTTTCATTTCTACTACAAGAAGAAAGACATATACAATATATGCACACACATGCACTTCATATTTATATTCATATTCCTATCTTACCACACCAGTCCCTTCTAGGCAAAGTTTCAGCATGAAATTATTTATTTTACTGCCATGCTATGAGGGCTTTTAAGAATCTACACCCAACATTTTTATTGGTATTAACAATCTGCACACACAAAAATCAATAACTAACTTACAAAAACATGTTTTGGGAAAGTAACAAATTATTCATATACAAACACAAAACCCCCCACAAAACTAAAGTATACAAAAAGTAAAATTCCATAATAAGTAATACAATTTTGTTTTTTTGTCATATACTTTAACAATATTGTACTTTGGTTTGGCAAAAACAGGCAATAATAATATTTACTGAGTGAAAAATAATCAGAATTCTTCATTCCTATCAAGGTAGCCTGCCAAATGTCTCTCATTCACAGAAGTTTTGGTTCCTGATCTGAAGCACTATAGTAGTTGGTCTGCTTGTTCTTCCAGTCTTGCAGTTTGGGCTCAGCGGAAGTGGTGTAAGTGCCTGACTGTCTTCTTCTGCACCTCTTGATCCCAGCTACGGCACTCAGCAACAGTGAACTGGAGATGAGGGAGAGCCCACTGAGGAGGAAAGCTGCAGTGTAGGTGCCAGTTCTGTCTACCAGCCAGCCTGCAGAAGGAAAGCACAGGTTCATGAAAGAAAGCACTGCTGGCACAGCAGCCAGGGGCTTTAGACTTGTAACTGGAAGGTTGTGGGTTCAAATCCCAGGTGAAACTCTGCTGTTCTAATCTTGAACAAACTACTTTACCCAAATTGTTCCAGCAAATCACCAAGCTGTACAGTAAATAATTGCAAAAGCAAAAAAGGAGTAAAAGTGTCCCACAAATAAATATATACAAATGTACATTCATCTTCACTGAGAGAACCAGGCTTACCTAATATTCTCCTGCTTCTGAAATATGAATACTTAACTCTCAAAACATATAATAAATTACTTTCAGTACCCTCTGTTCTCTAGCCACATACAGAACACAAGCAAAAATATACTTTTTGTAGTTCCTTTTATCTATGGATTGGGATCATGTAACGTATTGCTTCTGTGTTTTTTTTTAAACCCAAACATCCTGAAAAGGGCTTTTCAGAGCTGGAATATAGCACGTGTGTGCCTTTTGAGAGGCCTCCATTTCATTCATCATTCAAATCATAAAAGGCTCTCGAGCATGTTAAAATGATTTCAAGGCCTTTGTCTACCTGAAGGACGCCATGCTTTCAGCTGACATACTCAAGAATGCATACACACTATCTAAGAAACAGAAAACCTATAAGCTCTTCTATACAGAAAAGTACTGTGCAGCTATGGAACAAGCTAGTTAAGCCATGTTGTTGAAGCTGATACTCTGCTTCTTTCAAGAAACGTGTGGATAAGATCCTCAAATACATTAGCTGCTATCTACCAAACAGCCTAGATGGGGCTAATGGCCCCCTCTTGTTTGTTACCCTTTTTATGTACACTAAATGCATTCTTAGGAACAAAATGAGTTACACATTAGGCAGGAACCAGCTGAAACTGATTAAACATCATGAATCAGCAAAAATGTGTTAATAGATTTCTGTAACTGCAATACATTAGAAATCTGTCTTGTCAGCCACATACTGTCTGTTAAACATTCTGCCAAGGGCCTAATAATTGGCAGCACTGACCTGCAATAGGTGGGCTCACAAGGTAAGGAATTGCATGAAGAAAATACACAACTCCCAGAGCTGAAGAGAGGTATGTTGTTCCAACGACGTCTGATGTTACAACAGGTATTAAGGCCACATAAGCGCCGTCAAAATACCCATAGAGCACAGCAAATGGAACAAGCAGTGGGAAGCTTTTCAGAATAGGGATGAAGAGACAGCACAGGCCCTCCAGACCCACTGCTAACAGGTAACAAATGTTGCGATACTTTTTTAAACACCTGTGAGACAAACAAACAAAAAAAACATTAATTAAACTGAAGTCCAATTTTTATTATTTTTCCACAGCATTTGCTGGTCACAAGTAAGCAACGATAAACAGTGGATAGAAAATCAGATCAATCAGTGTGGAAAGCAAAACTAACTATATATGTGAATAATCTTTTCCCATCTGTAATTTCTTCAGATGTGTTTAGCAAAAAATAGTGCTTTGTCACTGTATAAACAGACCTGTACAAATGGCACAAACACTGTGAAATATATTACGTTTCATGGATATGCCTACTGTAGGTACTGAAATAAATAGCTAGATGGATTTTCTCAAAAGTGTGCTGCATTAGGAAAACGTCTAACTCAGTCAGAAACAGGGTTTGTAATGTATTGATTTTCACTCAAATATTTTCTTCATACACACACCTACAGTGTATTTACTCAAAACCAGTTTCCTATTGTTACACCCACAGGAGAGCATTTTGAAACACCAGTAAATCTCACGGCAAAATATCAAAATTCCTAGTTATGAGACACATCAACCAGATAATTAATACCAAGAGAAATCAGATGCAAAACAAAAATGAAACAAACTACACCAAACTAAAGGTCAGAGCTTATGCTGTTATATTGTTTGTTGTATTTATACACTTCAAAAGATCTCTCTATTGCCACAGTTCCATTCTCAAAAATCAGTCCACTCAGAGCAACCACATGAATCAAAAAAGTGCCTTCCTCTAGTACATGAAGAAAAGGCAATTGTACTAACGCGCTCCGAGATCATTCTCACTGCCACACCTGTGGACACACTAACACATCTAAAAAGACATGCTAGCATTGGGCTGGAAACAACACAGGGCAAAAATAGGCTCATATACCAAGAGGTACAATATTCTGCTTTAACTCTCCAGTCCCTACATCCTTGATATTACATGCTCTATCACTACACTTACTAATACTACCTGCTAAAACTAATAAAACTAATGTTGCTAACATGCAGAATAAGTACTGGAACAACAGAGACCTGACATGGTTCTGTTCACCCTGTTTCTTGACGTAAATGAAATGAGGTTGTGATTTCTTAACAATCTGAGCTGCAGCTTGACTAAAAAAAACTGTTTGGTCTTTCCCTTTCCAGCACCTACCTTCTGTCTGTGAGCCAGCCGAATGTGATGTTCCCCACAATCTCAATCACCCCCAGGATGGACATGAGGAAGGCCGCCTGCTGGTGGCTCACCCCCACGTTCAGAGCATAAGGCACGAGATAAACAAAGGGCACACTGCAGCCATATGCCAGGAAGAGGAAGGACACCGCCAGGACCATGAAGTCAGGCATCAGGAGGAAGTGGTACTCCTGCACTGACTGGAAGCAGAAGCACCTGTGCCCATGGTCCTTGCTCAGGAACTGTGCCGGGGTCGAGCTCAAGTCCTTTTGCTTCGTTTTGTAAGAATGCTCGGCGTCGACGGACAAGGCGCTGCTCAGCTGCTCTTCCTTCAGAGTGATGGGCCTCATCAGGGCTCCGCAGACGCACAGGTTCGACACAAACCCCCCCAGGACGAGGAGCGCCCCACGCCAGGAGTAATGCTCGATCAGGAGCTGGACCGCCGGCGCTAGAACGAAAGTGCCGATCCCGCTGCCGGACATAGCAATCCCATAAGCCAGCGCCTTCCTTTCACAGAAGTACTTGCCTACCATGGCAATGGCTGGGGTGTAGCAGAGCGCAAACCCGATACCTGGAGAAGAGAAAGACAGACCAAGTGCTTATCCAGACTGCAAATACACACAGACGTCACTACTTGTACAGCTGTAAAGAGACAGTTAAATAAGAAGACTTATGTGATTCTATGGTTTTACAACCATATATACTTAGTATAAAAAGGTATAAGAAGTATACTCACACTTACTTTTTATTATAATACTATGTAAGAGAAGATAGTGGCAACTGACAAAATACTGCAAAACTGGATATGTTATTTTTGTTTTCACAATGTGGTACAGCGTATAACAACAAGAATAACACTTTAACCCACAAAACTGATATGATTATCTTTAGAAAGTGCTGTAAGAGTCATTCATTCTCTCCAAGCTGTGAAATGTTTAACATTTGTCTGTTTACATGGCCTGTTCATCCTTTTCATATAAGTGCTCCAAAATCGTTGATATTTCTTCCCTCTCAATCTGAACAGGGCCCCCAGGTACACTAGTGAGAGGCAGGCACAAATGTACAATATTTACCTTCATTTTCAATTATGGCTTTATTACTCTGTGAAGTTGAGAACAATAGAACAAATCTAACACAGTTAAAAGAATGCTATACATTTTTTTCACTGATTTGTAAATGGGGTTTTAATCTTATTATTGTGAATGATGAATAAATCAAAGCATAAGCACTCCCAAACCAAGCTTGTGGTCAGTTCTCAGCCATGGATTATTTAGTCAAGTTCTAAAAAAGAGCTCTGAAAGACACTGACAGGCCTTCCTTATGATAAAGTCGTTCCAAAACTCACCACAACATAAATTCCATAACAGAATCCGAAGGAAGTTTGTTTCAGAGCTTTAACAGTAGTCTCTAGAAAAGCCTCCTATTCTACTACAAAAACCACTAGCTATTTTTTACCCCAAACACCATATGTTCCATTAAAATTTGTTATGCATTAACACATGACTAATTATTTACATGTAAAAATGTGCATTCTAACCACTTAACAAATAATTCAATAATTTACAGTATATATAGTATACTGTATTGCTTTGGTGCCCTCTAGAGGCAGATTTTCAGTCATTACAATCTCTCTGGATACCACAAGATCAAGGTCTTTTTTATTGTATGGTTTTGGCTTTACATACCGACTATATTTTATTCCAGGTCTAAAGCCAGTTGGAGGAACAACGTCCTAAGCCTGAGTAATGACCTCTAAGAGCTTGATCTTGGGAGATCAGGTCACACATATCCCCCCCACCTGTGAGGACTCCCAGTGTCAGATACAGGTATTCCAGACTTGTGGCGAAAGAGCTCAGGACAAGGCCCGTCGAAGCCAGAAACCCTCCCAGAATAATAGCAATGCGGCAGGATAGGCGATTCCCAATTAAGCTGCCAAGAGGTGCTGTAGAGAAACGAGAAGATAAAGAATGTTGGGTTGCAAATGCATTAGGGGATATTTCTGCAAATAAACTATGGGTTACTCTCACAGCTGTAGATGTGTGGAACTTAAAGCACCATGTTTCTCAACTGCTGGCGCCAGTCCCTGGAGTAGTGTTGACCAGTACCTGATGTGAACTCGCAGGCAGAGCCAGAGAGGCAGACACAGTGGAAGAATCTTTCATCGTTCAATTTCGATTGAGCTCTCGAAGAACAAGGATCTTAGGGAGCTGGTCCGTGGTACAGAACAGGTTGAGAGACACTGCTACAGTACTGTTAACTTTGACAGACACAAAACCCATACTTAAATCACTTTGTTTGCAAAAGTTGTCAATAAGGACTCAACACAATAAACTCTAAAGAAATACTTCTAGAATGTATCAGCACTTCCTGAGGAAGGCAATCGCTTCTGTTCTTTTCAAAAATGTTCTTTTTAGAAACCTGATCTACTATGGCGATGATTTCTACAAATTGTCAGTATCTTTGCAGTATTGGACACACAGAAATGATAAAAATATCAACACTGTAATTCCTAGCTCATTTTACATGTTTTATTATTATTTATTATATTATGTAAACTGTATATTGCTGGTATTGGTAGTTTAAAGAAAAAATACACACCAGCATTCCATTTCTTCCTTAACATTTTAAGCATCAAAGTCTTACATGTGGTTATTTCGGAAACGTTTTTGCGTGCTCCTTCTGACCATATTACTGTACTATATACTTTGTGAAAATTGATCGTTTTAACCTTTTCTGTGAATACGCTTGTTATTGGAGTAAACAAAAGCATACTTTCAGAATTGGATTAACAGGGATTATAATATGGAATCGCGTATCTAAATAAATTAATAACGATATAATTATATTAATGTAATGTTGCACAAGCAGTAGTATAAGACTTTCCATTGATATGTGAATTGCTGGCTATGCCGAATTTCACTCCACAAAGCGGTATGACGCGAAATGATGCGTTTTGACAAGTTTTGTTGCGACACACCCACCGCGTTGTATCGCAGAGTACCCCACTTGTTTTGAATGGCTGTATCTGTACAACATTTTATATATCAATGTTTTTTTCTGAATTCATACTCTCTAGAATCTATTTTGAATGTATAAAAAACTGTTTCAACACATTTTCTTTGGGTTCAAAACTTGATCTCTGCTCTAATCTTTATGAGTAAAAAAGACAATTGTACTGTCATAAAATAAAACACTACATATATTAAGTGCTTTATTTCTGGGCCAGGATTGTACTATTTGCTAAGTAATGGTAACTGGGCATACACTATTATTAGTGCTATACAGTAGGTCGAAGAAAAACTGCCTTCTGAATTTCTGAAATGGGTCAACAGCATTCCTCCCCTGAGAGAGCCTTTCAACCTCATGGTAACCTTGGCTGCCAGCTCAATGGTACCACATGCCATTCTGTCAGCTGGTTGCATCATACATGATGTGCATCATCTGAGTTCAGCTGGCACTGCTCTGGTTCCAGCATGAAGCTGCAAAGTCTCTGGAAGGATCTGCCCCAAAACAATATTACTGAATTTGTCTGCAGGTTTATAACTTGTAACTGAGCCCCACAACAGGGAAGAGCATTCACTCAGTTTGTCATTTCAGCTGAGGTCACCTGAGTTAATATGTAATCCAGAGTTGCAAAGGGACCTCAGATGCAGGGATTGAAGTAAAGTTCACTGTGTTCACTTGGCCGACCTAAATTTCTGAATGAATTAACAACTAAGAGCAAGCACAGCAAAAACCAGCTGGGCTGGTTTGCTGAAAGTGCTGCTTACTTTTAGCAGAGGTTTGAAACAAGGTAACCAAATTCAGTCTGAATACCAGTCCTATATTTTACACATTTTAAAAAACATTTTCCTTACCACACAGCATTGTGGTACAGTCCACTAAAGAGTGGATCCACGCTGTTCCTGAGTAATCCCGTGCAAAGTGCAATTGAAATTCCACAAAAAATATGGAGATACATCTGAAAGACAAAAGGAATAAGGTAGGAGTTTGAAATGCATTTTTTGAAACATGACTGTCTGTCAGCACAATATACATGTGATCTTTAAAAACTAGCAAACAAAGTACAGAAACCTGAAAAGGAACCAAAATACCATCATCGTCTGTATATCAAGCAGAACATGAGCATTTTTATCATTTTAAAAAGCTTCTTTATTACATTTCCATTAGTGGCACATTGTGTAAATCCTTAACACCCTCAAGTAAGTAATAATAAAAAAGTACTATGAGGTAAAATAATTTTCAAACCACTATTGGTAAAGTAAGGTGACAGAAGGAAGTTTAACCGAATTTACTGAACTATTTAAGTGTGTTCTGTTGCATTAAGACAGACATTCAATCCAAATACTGATACAGTGTCATCATCTCAAAATGATATTATAGACCACGCTGGAAGCACTCTACCACTCATACTACACGAACGCCATTAGTAAACAGCTGTTAGTTTCCAGATCATATGTCTTTTCTGAGTAGAGTGTAATCAGAGCCTTTGTCAAACAAGTAGTCCTGTTTTTCAGCTCTTAAACTATAACTAGTTGTGCCTGAATAACAGGTACATATACTAACAAAAACAGGAAGGGAAGTGTATAAAAATAAAGTTTTAAGAAAATATTTTTTGTAAAAATTAGACTGTTTTGCTTTGCTGTGTGTTTCATTGCAATAAAAACACGAGTGACCTTCCTTGTAACCTTTGAACTCTCAGGGCTGGCACTGCATTGTTGCCTGGGGTCACCTAACAAATTCACAACACAAAACAAACTTTCCCCTACAATGTTTTTCCTCCCCTGTGTGGTTGGAGATCTCCAGAGGGAGATCTGGATAAATCAAGCTTCATAAATTAAAAAGTCTTTATTCTTTTTTGAGTGGTACTGTCACACTCGTAAACCCCTCCTCATAAGGACGCTCCAGCCCTTCCTTGTTTTGTACTCATCTCCGGCATCTTCCTCCGGTTCCAGCCCCCCGTGCTATAAATGATGTTCCTGCCAATCTGGGCTCAGCTTTGGAAGATGGATGCCTGGATGCCCGCCTATCCACGAGTCCAGGAGCGACTTGACAGCACAGGCTTCATCACGGCGTCCTGACTTTCTGAGTCCGGGATTAGGGAGTGCCTGGTCCTGTTAATCCCCTTTTATTCCCCTTACCCTCCGCCGGATCCCGCTCCGGCTTTTAACTCTGTTTGTCTGTCAGGAAGGATTACCCGGTCTTGGACTTTTGCTACACTCATGGATTTGCCTCGGACTCCCTTGGACTGTTTCCCTCGGCCACACCTCCCCCGAACACCAGCGCACCCTGGACACGCCCCCTGTTTTCCTTCCAGCCCCTTGCATGCCTTTTACCCCGTGTTTCCCTCACTCCTCCCCTGACTGTGCTGTCTGCGTAGGGTCCTGAAAGAACGCTTCATTACAGGTACCTTCCCTGTGTCCAACAAGTGGAATAGAACTACTGAAGTCAAGCATATCGTTATATCTGCTGTTGCACATACTGTGATAGCTTTGTAACATGTTGTGTAAAACTGCCAATAATTTGTGTATTTCAAAATGTTTACATGCAACTGAAACAAAAACTAAATAAAACTAAAAAATAAAAAATAATAAAACTAAACCAGGGGACACAAGTGGAAACTATGAGTATATGTATGTAAGAATAATTATTAAGAATAGTAATTATCTAAGAGGCACTTATTTACAAAAAAAACTACAGTTAATGAAACTTCTTTCTTCTTCTTCTTCTTTCAAAAGCAGATACAGTAGATGAAATTCTAGTGTTAATTAGCAACTGAAAAATTAATTATTTTGTTTGTAAACATTCCTGTGTACCCATATTTCGATGTCTATGGGAATTCAAGAGTGTCCACTTTCATATCTGTTGTTTGCCATATTTTGGAAACATCCAATTCAGGCTCATCAATCTAGCCCTTCTAACCTACACCTTTACACTACCTTTATAATCCAACCTCTTCTACCCCTATGCCCTACCCCTTCAACCCCATACCTCTGCCCCTTTTACCCCAGTATCTGTTAATACTAATGAAAATGGACAGTATATTGTATGGACATGATATATTGTAAACACAACAATGTCTTAAATGCCCCCTGTCCCGATACTTGTTTTTGAGGAGTGCAGTGCTCTATTAGGACTTTAGAATAATTGGTCCAAGTCTATGACTCTGGGGTGGAGGACATAATGTTGCCTTTTACTTTAATTCTGATTGTATCTGAGAAGTTAAAATTAATAAAATCTTGGTCACAAAAATAAATAATTGAATGAACTTTTTGATTCACTGCAAAACAACCTACAGTTAATGGCCAAACAAGCAAAACTGCCTGAAAAGCCCCCCTCAAGTCCTTTTGTTTGCAACCTTCCCTTGAAATGTAAAATTAAAAAAAAGAAAGCAGCCAAAATGACAACGCTGGCATGTCTCATTTTAAATCAATCATCTTGCTTTTAGCATTTCTATTCCCATAACTTGGTTTCCCTCCTTTTCAGGCTACAGCGGAGAATATGTTTCTGGTCTATGGGAGGGCTGAGGGCTGAAGGGAGGTTCGTCAAAGGAAGACTGAGAATGGACTTGCCAGTAAGAAGAGGAAGCAGTTAATGTGGTCAGTATGTTGGCTGCTCAGAGCAGTGAAAACAAGCCCAGAGAGAGACAAACCGGCAGCTGCACAAACAGTGTGCTGCACACAGCAGATAACTGCTGCAGTTCTCTCAGCGCGAAGAGGACTGCGCAGTGATGACCCTTCTGCTTCTCCTGGCACAGCAACAAACAGAGGAGTTCACTCCCACCAGATCAAATGGCTTAAATCACTGTCGCGCTCACTTTGAAGAGAGCTCAGACCACCAAAACATACAAATAAATCTGTGCAGACTTCCAGTGAGGCTGACACAAATTACACACTTCTTCCCCAAAGTATTTACCTCCTTCCAATGAAGTTCCATTTTGCTGAATTACCACTGATGCATACACATTATTTTAATCAAAACTTCAGTACTCAAACTGAACATTTCGAAGGGTGATAGAAGTTAAGTGTCATCAGAAACTGCCAAGAAACTAAAAGACGTTGATTGCAAGCAATTGCATTCCAATGACTCACTTTCCTTAGTTAACACTTGGTGGATTCAGATTTAGCCACAATTACAGCTGCGAGTCAAATGTTTCTGAACAGACACAAGTAGAAAATCAAGTCAAGGTGCTCCATCGAGATTAGATTTGGGTTAAAAGAATCCAGTTGACATGCCTTCCATTTATACGGTATTTGAAATTCAACACATGGCAAAATGTACTGGTCTTTTTGCGTTGAACTGCTAAAAGTTGGGGAAAGCAATTTTTGACGTGTTGGAAAATTATATTTGATAAATCAACTGAGCAGAACAAGAGAAAATACAACTAAAAATAAAATGTGATTAACAAAGCCAATTTTCCTTTATTGTTCACTAAGCAAGGGGGAAGGGATGTTTGGAGTAGCCAATTCCAAAAGCTGGAGCCAGGACGAGGTCTGGCAAAGAAGGTGATTGTCAAGAAACTCCCTGGTATACTAAACTGAAGGAAAGTGTAGGCCAAAGCTGCTTAATCGCTCTGACCCAGATTGGTGTGGAAGCTCTCCAACAACAGAGCTCGGATCAGCAGATCTTCACGTGCTGCTCAGACAGAAAACCTGATCCCTTTCCAGCTGCAATTAGCTGCTATGGTTTATTTTGACATGCTGTGTTAGTAGCTAACTTTAATTACATCAGCCTGCTGATACTTCCTTCTTAAATATAGACGACATTCATGATCTACACCTTTTAAATCAAACAGCTTAGGAATTCAAATCAATCTTATAGAGCAGCTAAATGAAGATTCTGGGACTTTTTTATCATCTGCTAACCTTAAGATTTAAATAAAATAAATTCAGTATAGGTGTTGAAAACATACGTTATAAAATATTGCAAAAGAAAAGGTAAATGTTTATTGCAATCAGCTCCACAGCCAAAACATTGTGTTTCCTTTCTTCTCTTTTCAGCATGGAATTAACCTTTGACTTGTTCCTTTGCAGCCTACACAGGCTGATGCAGCTACCTACTTGAAAGTTTATTTATTCCATGGTGAAATGAGAAGAGAAGAGGCATAAGGTTTCAGCTATGAAGCCTACTTCATGGAATAAACCTTTACCTGTTCCTTTGTAGCCTATACATGCTGACACAGCTTCCTACTCAAACTTTTTTATAGAGTATTGGTCACACTTATTCAACTGGATACCACCCTATAATTAACAACGAGCTCTCTGCTACTTCAGTTTCACGACTTCCATTGAGCAGATGGACACAAATAATTATCTGGTGACTTTCAAGAACACAGGTAATTGCTTGTAAGAACCCTTTCTTCCAGCTATTCATGTTTTGACTTGTTAAGAAAGCATGATTGTGCAAAAGCAGCCCTAATTTGGAGAAGTAAAAAAGAGGGTTAAGAGACCCAAGACCACCCCATCTATAGAGATTTTGCTGTTATTGAGCTTTATTCCACAGCTGTTTCATGTAATCTGGAAGAAGAAAAGACCATTGTTGTACAGAGAACAGACATCTAGTTGTGTGAATACTGCAGTGAGGAAGAGCATCACATGAAACCCCTCCGACTTTCTTCAAGCTTTAATGCCTTCAGTGCAGAAGACAACGTGACACCAATTCTACTGTACATGGAATTGAAATATTTATGGCAGAGTGATATCACGCACTACAGATCACTTAATATGAACAGTCCTAGCCCTAAACACTGCAAACAAAAATCACGTCACACCAGATCTTGCTCCTTAGTGTGATTTATTTATACTGTGTATGTGTGTCTATACTTAAATATATCTATTTTTATTTCAGCTAGGTTTATTTCACTGATTTTACACAGCCAGTCATATATATAAGGTATTGATTTTAGGCATCCAAGAATGTCTTCCAACAACAAATAATGGTTGCAGACTGCTTTTTATAATGGAAAGGGCAAAACTGCGTACCATCTCCAGAGGGGTTACAATTGTAATGCTGAAATCATTTAAGATTGTTTCACAAAAATGAAAAGAGATCCTTCAGTCAATTAGCTACCACCAACAGGGCTAAAAGAGCTGAATTGCCACCTTGACTGTAAACATTCTTATGTGCCTAATATTTACCAAAATAAATTGCTTCTAATCCTTTAAAACTGTAAATTCACTCCATTTCCAAATATGGTCAACAAATATGTTTATGTCTGCATTTAGCCAAATTCCAAACGTGAAGAAATTCTGCACTACAACCTGTACCATGTCAGGTGACATTTTATAAACTTTATAAGCTACCTTCAAGTCATTATTGGAAAGCATGGCAGCCCAGAGTTTTCAACAGTGAGATGTAGCCCCACAGGTAATAATAACATGGACTGAGATGGACAACAGAAGTGTCTGCAGCAGGGACTAACCAGATAGTCAGTCACCACACTACACTGCACCTTATACCTTACTTACTATGTAAAAAACTTAAATCAGTAAAAATTACTATTAATATGGACATATATAATATGCTGAGAAATCCATGATCATGACATCATGATTGGAGTTGAGAAGCTAAAGTAAAAGCTACTGTATGTGAAAGTGTTTCTCATGTGTGGGTGTGCTTTGATTCACTGCCTGCTCTCTTAAAAACCAACAACGTTGAGTGACTTAAGCTTATTGTGCTTCCAGACTTCTTTTATTGACCAATAAGGAACATAAAATAACTCTACCGCAAGATAAATATTTAATGCTAAAAGGATATGAAAATATAACACTATTAACATCTGAAATGTTGAATGTCAGCTTAGATCCAAAACTAATTAAATGTATTGATTTTGACTCAGTTCCTTGAAAAACTTTGTTTATGTATCTTGGAGGTACTGACATTGTTGTAACTCCCCTTCTTCAAAGTTTACACAACACAGTTTGTATATTCACACTGATCGAACAAGTAATATATATATAGGTACAGTATATCTATCACACATAGCTAGGCAGGCAGAGCTGTGTAAAGAGGAAGCCTAATGTCTTCCAGTTTACAACAAGTCTACTTTGAATATGCCTGTATTAAACTGGAAATTGGAAAAAAACTTTTTATTCCTTTCCTACCCTAGCAGGAATTTATAACTTGTAAAATACCACTTGAAAAAAAATGTTTATTTTCATGCATCCTAAAGAATGAAAAAAATAATGCATGCACTTGCATTTACGTGGATATTAAACCTATGAGAGACATGAAAAATGATTAATCTTCATCCATTTTACAGTAGTTTAGCATGAGCATTTAATTAAATAGATTATTTTGTACTTCTTAAAGAATAAGGGAGCAACAAAATGTTTTATTTGAGAGAAAGAAAGATTTCTAACAACACAATTGGGCAAAAATGCCATGTAAATTAAATCTTGTGTGATGGTCTTTCAACATTTCTCTTAATTTGTGAGTGCAGTTAAAATTACCCTTCATATTTTCACAGACATGAAGGCCTGACATTTGTCATGCTCTGAAAGATCATGGCACGTGACCAAAGAACTTGTGGACCGAGAAATGTTAACTCTTCTCAAGCAACCCAAGAAAACACATTCAGGAACAAATCAATTTCTGTACCTTAATATGATTTCAACAGGAAAATGCTAATGGCCCATGCGCAATATTAATGGTACTATCTAGTAGTTCTGCAGAAGGAATCAATGACAGATTTATTCTGACAAACATAAAGCAGCCAGACTGTACACTGATGTACAAAATGCAGCACCTTCCGAACATTGTATATCTAAAAATCCCTTTGCTCTCTGCAAACGGCAAAACCTGATGCTTCAGAGCCCAAAGAGACCGACACTCAATCCATACTCATTACATGTTCACACGAAGCTCCATGTTTACAAGACATCCCAGTGTAACACGAACTGGAACAGAATCTGAGGGAAACACAAGCTACCTCCTGCAAATTCAGTGAAGGGGAGCCTTGTTCCCACTAGAAAATGGGTCAGTGGTAAAACAAATATAGAATCTGCTCATCGCAGCTTTCAGTGCTGTCTTTCCCTGAACACACTGTATTCGATTTTTTTTATAAATAGTGAACACCCATTTAAGGAGAGGGAAATTACCTAGAGATCTCTAACAGCGTTACAGGTTTTGCACAGACAACACATTAATAATAAGCACAATCAGCAATCGTCATGCCCCCAAGTGAAACAGCAAATCCTTTACAAACAAACTATTCACAAAACAAGTCAAAGTAGCCCTCCACAGTTTGCAGGAAAAAATACACTGCAGGTCACAGTATAAAAGCTCAGCAACTTAATTTGTAGCTGTAAAGCAAAAATTAGCCAGAAATATGTCTCTTATTACTTATTTAGACATGGCACATGGAACCCTGTTACATATAGAACAGTATTATTTGGGTCACAGATTTTTATAGCACTCCTTGAAGTAAACTAAAAGGCTACAGCATTACACACTTGACGTAGTTTTACAAGAAATGCAGTCTTTCGCTCTTACTGTTCTAGTACGAGACAAGCCTGTGCTGTAGCGTGCCTCAGCATGCGCTTCCCAGCTCACCTGGTGACCGCGCGGGTGCAAACAGTGACAAGGAAGCAGCCGGCGACAATCATCCATCCCCAGCCTCCATCAGGAGGGGCGACTCCCAGCTCCTTTTTACTTTGGGCCATGGCTGAAACGCAGCTTGCACTCCTAATCCCTTTTTTCCAGCTCGAGTTCCCAGCGCTGAGCCCCAGCTCGCGGTTCGCTCAGTGCCACAGCGCTCAGTGTTGCACAGAATGTATGGAATGTTATCCGAAGAGGGATTTGTCAGTTCCTCTAGAAAACAACACAAACATTAAAAAAATGCATGAAACATAGAGGTAGGAAAAGTGACTAAAAGGCATAATTTGCTTTTTTTTTAAGTAGCTTTCCTCTGATGTATAGCTCACCTTTTGCTTTTCTTCAACGGTACAGAATTTGATACTTACAGAAGTAAACTCATATGCTTCTCAGTCCTGGTCTGCACTGTTTTCCCTTTGTCTTGACAGAATACCTTCAAGGTTACTGTCCTGGCTGTTATGTTTTAACTTTACAAGTTACAGTTCTGACATCTCATGCTTTCTCAGAAAGCAGTGAGGCTTGTGTGAGATTGTCTGTGAACACTTTTAATGGACAACTATCTGATTGCTGCAATTTTGTAAACCTAATGTTTCAAATTTCCCTTTTGTAGGTGCTCTTCCAGAATATCTATTGGCTTTGATTTCAAAATATGGTTCTCTTTTATGCCCATTAAAAAGGAAAATTAAACAGAAATTTAAAAATTCAGAATATTATTGCTTACGTGTTAAAAATAGTCCAGATCAATATGTGTGTAGTGTATTTCTGCTTATTCTGCACTTTTTAATTTACTGATTTGAAAAGTTAGTTTATGCTAAATCAGGTGAAGTAAAAAGAAAATGATTTTGCATTTTCAAATGGAAAACCAGAAAAGATACCAAACTATGTAGTGCGATTTGTGTCTTTTAAAACTGACATCTCAACTACTCTGTGTCAGTGGATCATTTTGGAGGGTGCTGAGTGAATTTTCTGCTTCTGATTGATGTCTGAGATTGTATCTCCTAACCTAAGGGATAGTGCTTTTATCAGATGTTTCCCAGGGACCCGGGGAAGCAGTGTGTGTTGCTAGGGCACAGCCACCATCCTGAAGGGAATCCAAGCTTGATTTCATTTGTTTCAATCCAGTCAGGAAAGACTCCTCCCTTACAGTTTTCTGCTGAGTCACCCAACAGACTGAAAGACCTCATGCGGTGAACAAACACCCCACTGCATCCAAACCCAACAGCTATCTCCTGCAACATCATAGTATAGCTTTGGACTATTAGAACATCATCCATTTGCATGGGCCTTTTCTGTGCTGCTCCATGCTGAATTCTGATTGAACAACACTGACTTATTTACCAGGAGGGGCTTGCTGCCTTGTGAAAGGCTTTAATGTAAAATTAGAAAAACAACAGCATGCTTAACATGTTACACTGTAAACATCCCTGATCCCTGAGGGGTTAGTCATGAATACAGTACTCTGGCTTCAAACATGAAGGTTTAAATGGAAGAACAATGTATTTTTCAGAGGAGTCACTACATATTTCAAACCTTCCACCTCTTTCTGATGTGATGCCAAAGAATTTCCTCTAGTTTAATTTGCACAGGAAATACAAGAGAAAACAATTACAACAAAAAGTCACGCCATGCCAACAGCACCCCTAGCAACAGGATTCACACTGCAGGTGTGCTACAGATTCACATTTTTTTTCCTGAGAGGTTTTATAAAGCAGGACTGCTGGTCAAAGCAAAAACACACTTCCTGAATATGGTGTGCTCCATTTACATAAACTGTGCCCAGTGCTTATTTGAATTTAAAGAAATAGCTGTATCTGTTAACTAAAAATTATTACATTTATTTATCCATTTCCTTTGGATGTATGCATTTGGTTTTCTGTGCTTTATAAAATGAAAATATACAAAATGCAAAAACATTATTCAGTGCACTACACCACTAACATGAGTTTATGTGAGTTCCTCACAGCACTTATTAAATACAAAAATAGATATTTTAAGTATAACAAGTGAGACCTTCTTACGCCATGTAGTGTTGTAAACAAAGCACCACGTTTTGAAAATAACTTCACCCACAACTTTATTTCTGATATAACAAACATTAATGGATGGAGAAAGAAGACATGACTCACTGAACAATTAGAGATTTAAGTTTGGAGAAGAAAAGACTCGTTGTTAAACCAGAAGCTTGTACACACTCACAATGAGTAGCTGAACAAAGGCTGGGATTCACGTGACATCTGAGTTCTGGTGTGGGTCAAAACAGACCTCTCACGAATCATACTAAATACTTTGCAATTTATAGAAGATTCCACCTTGCTTAAAAATTATCCAGCAATTTAACAGTAAAATGAAAGATTAAACATGCGCAGGCGATTACTTTGTCACGTATACAGCATAATAAGTAATCTACAACTTATACAGTAAAGCATTTTATTGTCACTTCTAAAAATCCAAATATGTATGCATAACTTAGGCTTCTATTTTAGGCAAGACATTTAATATAATCCTTATAGTTCACTGTAAATTTCCAGAAACACAGTATGAGTGTTTCATGTTATTCCGAACACTTTCTATCCTTTACACTGGCAGAAGGGATAACGTTTTTAAAAAAAAAAGACTCACCTGGAAACAGACAATGACCAACATGGCAGTTGATATTGGCTTCATACTAGCCAGAGCTTTCATAGTTCTGCTCAATGGAAACCTACTACTAAACACAAGAAAGTTTGATTTAGTTAAGTGATGCGACTGTCTGTATACTGCAAACCAATGGATCACCTCAGTGAAATACTACATACCTAGCCATGCTGAGTGCTAATTCGTTCCACATTCTATGAAGCACTCATTAGTCTGTGAAAACAAAAACCAAGAGAACAGTTGTGTAACTTTTAAATCATGCTCTAGGAGGGATGCATTAGGTGGGAGGAGAATTCAACTTCAAAAAAGTTTTTGTTTTTTTTACAGAAACCACAAATGTTCTTTATCAACTTCCCATAGAGATTATCTTGTCTGGCCTGCGAATAAATATTATGGTTGTGGGAGTATGTAACAGGCTACCCAGCTACGCTATTGAAGTTAACACCTTGGTTTCTTTCAAGACATGGCTGGCTGAGAACCTCAGACCAATTAGCTACCAACTACCAAATGAGCTAAATGGGCCAAATGGTCTTGTTTTGTAAGCTTTTCTTGTGTTCTTATCACAGTGCTCAATTATAGACTGTTTAAGGTCTCAGAATTTGTTTAATAGCATTTTATCTTGACCTCAATCGACATCAAACAAATGTATTGGTCAATCATTTGCCTTGGTTTTTGTCCTGGCACACTGCTCACACAGATGAGCGGAATATTTAAGGGTTACCCATCAACCGAAATGGGTTACCCATCAACTCAAATTAATAGATTTCAAGAGGCATTTTTCATCTAAAAGTGCTTTGCATAAAGACAGATAAGACCTTATTGATGAGGTAAAAAGAAGACCCACTTCATGGAATGCTGCATCCACCCGGGTAACATGTGGACACATTTCTGCACCAGCAGCCCCACAGCAGATTAGGTGGAAAAGTGAGAAACTGCTTCACCAACTGTAAGGGGTGACTTTATATAGGCTATTGGTCAAGACCATAGTGGAAATTATCCAGCACACCAGGGTTATTGACCTTGCTCTCATGAACAATACTACTGGATTTTTACAGACCAGGTGTTACCTTGCAGCTCTTGGTCTCCATGTCAACAGGCTACATTAGTACGTGGAGTCAAACACCTCCCAGTGCCATGAGGACATGATCAGGTGGGCTATCTATACCACATTCCATCACTTAAAGGATATTTACCTCATCCGTGCCGGTCACTTAAGCCCTGCCCTGTCCTTAGTGAGACGCCCTGTCATTCAGCTTCCTAACAGTGTATGGAATTGCTCCTCGCACAGTTATAAGTTCTGTATTCCACCTCAATCTGTGTGGTTCCTTGATCCTGATTCTGAGACTTTCTGAGATTCTGGCAGCCAGCTGTCTCTCTGTCTGCCTCCTTGCTGCTACGCATCCTTAGCAACAAACCTGACCTGCTTGGCTGCGCATCTCCCTTGTTCTCTCTGCCTCCTGTCTGCCTGCCCAGTTCTTCCCCTGTTCTGCCAGTCAGCCCAGCGCATCCCCAGCTCTCGCCTGTCAGCCTGCCTTCACCGGGACCTAGCGAGTATTTTCCTCCGCCCTGTTATACAGACAGACACTCTCCAGGTCTGCACTGCGTCGTAATACCATGTACTCAGGACCATGGATTAACGTCTCATGTAAAGGAATCACTCCTCTGACAGCACTATGTCCCTGGTTAACATAGTAGGGCACTGGTTTGGAAATTCTGGTCCAGGAAGAGTACCACCTACTCTTCCATCTACAGTTGCAACCTGGTTTCCCATCTGTTCCATCTCAATACTCGCCTCACGTCTAGCCTTTCTTAGCTTTCAAACTGACCAAGAGTGCTGAGTGAGGTACAGAAGTGACGTCACGCCCCTGTGAAATCTAGACAGTGGAGAACTCAGCTGTGGCAGAGGGCCAGGTCTTTGGGCATGGCAGAGGTCTCACTACACGCTGCCAGCAGGGGCAGGAAGAGCTGTTCTCATCACACTCACACTTGAAGATGGGGCCTCAGTTGTGTCAGTCATTTCAATATAATGACATCTGTGAAACAGTAAACCTCCACCACTGCTTGACTGTGCTAAAAGACATGCAACTGCTATAAACTGTGACTTTTAATAAGCATTTCCATCAGTACCCTTTATTATGTGTGTCCTGTGTTTGCAGAGTAAGGATTAAACCAAGGGGTGACAGCAAAGGTGGAGATGCAAGGTGGAGTGGTACGTCATACAAAATGAAAAAGAAAATAGATTTGCATATTAACTGTTTAGTTCGCAAAAAAAAAGAGAAAATTGTCATGTTGTGGAAGTTTGTGTGTTTTCTTTTATTTGTATGAGAGAGAGGTTAAAGAGAAAAAAGTTTTGGTTTACCAAAACAGCATCAGGAATTACTGCGATTTAAAACAGCTAAGGCAAAAGATGTGGTTGGCATTGTGTCTCCTGAACTTCAGTTAAAAACTTCTGTTTCCTATTCAAAACATGACAACTACATCAAATGGATAGCCTTACCATTAATTTCCTAAAGTTTTGCCTAGAAAAATTAACACATTTTCATAGAAAGGCTCAATAAGTGTCAAGCCAACACCTGTGGGGCCTCCTGCACAGGACTGCAGTATTTCTACAGTATACAAGGCACTTTGTAGGCTCCTGAAAAATGTAATGATTTTCAGCACAATCAAAATTATTTAAAACTGCATTCACTTGCACCTTCAGTATTTACAAAAATATTTTAAAACCCTTGTCCATACAGTAGAGGTTACAAGATATTCGATAAGATGTTATATAACGAATTGACTTACATTTAAACAGGGTCACGCTGTCAGATAAATTATTTCCAGTGTTCATACTGGTCTCTGTCTGCTATATCGCAGTTCACCCACTCTTTCAGCACATTTCTCAATACCATTGATTTCAATGTTTCAATTGTCAATGTTTCTGCACAAAGCTCCTGCTGTACATATGCAATTTACTAAATACATCATTAACAATAGAGATCCATTTTTACATACAGAATAAATCATTTAAAAAAACTAAAAACAGCATTAAAACCTGTAAGGAACAAAAATGAAAACATGTTGCACCATGCTGCAGCTACTTCATTCATTTCTGCTGCTGCAGAGCTCCATATTTTGAGAGCAAAACAGGCAAACTAGTATTAGAAATAACCTTTCTATGCAAATAATCAGACTCTTCAGAAAAGTCTGAGGCACTGTGGACCTACACACCATAAACAATCCTTAAACAGCCTTGAAAAACAAGTGTTTATTTTTCTTTCTACAGGTAAATAGTATTAATCACAGCCCAGATACCTGTCTAAACATATGTAACACTTAAGGTCAGGGTCTCTAACTCTGCTTCCAGACAGCATTAGTCCAATTTGTCTTATAGGTCATCCCAAATCAATACTTTGTTAATTAAGAACATTTATAAGTTGATCAACTAAACAAGTAATGTGTTTAGTTGAGGGAACTTAGGTCCTTGAGGGTTTAAGAGCTTTCTGGTATTTGTTACCCGGTGATCACTAAATAACGTGTATAATATTTTAGAATAAGAAAATATTGTTCCAGTCCTTTAGAATCTGATTATTTAATCGTTACATCAAGAATATGTTCTCTTAGTCCTGAGCTGGAGATCTTTAAAGATTTTAGAATCTGCGCTTTCTTAGCATTTTTTGAATACCAAGAAATCTTTGAAATCGATTAGCAAATTGATCGGTCTAGCTCAATTGAAGATTGATGTGAAGTACAGCAGCTTTATTTTATTTTTATTTTTTTGGGTGGGGGGGTATTGTGTTAGTCTTAATTCCATTAATATTATTTATTGTGCATCTTTACTTTTTTATTTATTTCATTTGTGGCTTCTTTAAAATACATCATCAAACTTATTTTCTTGAAATCCTTCCTCACGTGAGCTGGGTAGCTCGAGTTACTGCAGACGGTGTTCTTAATTTACCACGCTTAAAAAAAACAGAAGCAGGTCACGTACGACCTGTTTGATGTTTTTTAAAGTATATTGCATATTTAAGTACTTCACGTAATACGATATTTATATACTTATGCTATTTACACAAGACATGTTGTATTTACAATTTTCAAAAACCTACCAAAACTTACCCCTTTCTGAGCAACTTCGACATCCAATTATCCGTTTGTATCTGGAGTTAGCATGCCTTAAGACATGAAACTTTTCTTCTAAAAATGAGAAAAAACGATACAATGAAAAACAAAACGCCCCCAAAAACTTTTACCAGGTTTATGGTAAATAAAAAAAAATGCCTTATCCTGCTCGGACTACCCCTTCTCTTTCTGTGTCCTCTCGCATTGCTCCAAATTAAATGTAAAAATCCTTGCTTAGAAGTGCTTACTCGCCTAGCTTAAGAAGTAGCTTTTCCAGTTCTCTTCTGCGGCTGCGGTGATGTAATTGCGCATCTTCTCTATAGCGCCCAGGGCGAGGGCAGGAGAACCGCAGGCGTGCACGTGCCGACCACGCAGCGGACTAGCACCAGGGCAGCGCTCCCAGGCGTCAGACTGAAAACCGACTCATGCGAGTTCGCGTGTAAATCGCTTTGCCTTGGCGATAACGATGTTATTATTAATCTCTGCTGATGAGGAAGCTGAAGTCGCAAGAAAAACAAATTATTTCGGTGAAATATGTCATATAAACTCCGATCCCTTCTCCTCAACTGAGGACGAAATGCATCGCTTCATTTTATGGTAACTTAATGCACGATGTGATGTAACTTTGGCACGGGAAGGGCTGTACTTCGGTGACGTGCTGTAGAAATAATGTTTCTCTAAGCAAATTAATTAGTGAACTTAATTTAATGTAGAATCTAATATATGCATGCAATAAATGCTTTGTAGCTTGGCTGTATGGCATTCTGCACTATGTATTATTTTTATTTTTGCACATACATTATCATTGTTGTTAATGCAGTGCTGTGTTTCAAGTACGAGATTTTACGGAACACAGAAGATGTTAATTGTTTTCAATAGTGTGCAGGAGCTTTTAATATCGTGTCATTTTTAAAAAAAGCAAAATACATATAATGCACTATATTTAAACTGTCTAGCACAGTGGTTTACAACCTGTGGACCGCGTCCCCCAGTGGGCCGCGGTGGTACTGCAGGGGGGCCGTCAAATGATGGCTGTAATCGGGGCAGGCGCTACAGGGGGTGCAACTGGCCCCGGGCCCAGATCTAAGGGGGCCCGTTGCTAAAGTCATTAATATTACAGCTTTTTTTTTTTTTAAAGAAAAGACCATCCATAAAATAAGCGAACGAGAGTTGGTATGTCTAGGGCGGGGAACGCGGTGTATTATCCAATAGCGATATTAGTGTGGCATATTTTAAAATAAAACAATGATCTATTGGAAAACACGGCTGAGCGGATTATTTGCAATTGGTCAATGGCGCGTTCATTCCAAAATATGTAGAATTGGAAACCTGTTCCCCTGCAAGACTGGGCAACAGACAAGTTTACCTTTAGCTAAGCTATGTTAGTGTGCAACATGAAAGCGATCCAGAAATGTAACTCGGGTAGCAAGAAACGAAAAGAACAGAAAAGACAATGAGAGAGGAAAAGTTTAAATTTAACTTTATCAATTGCTTACTAGACTGTCATCAGTGAGAAAGAAGAACGTTTTTCTTTCTTGACCGAATTCAGTCGTCTTTTTGGCATTTTGTTTGACATTACAAATGCTGGAGATAATTCAACTGAAGCCTGCAACGAGCTTGCCTTATTTTTAGGAGACATGGCGGAGATTTGGCAACTGAATTAAAGTTTCTCTCATCTGCTCCCCAATGAAGTCAACACTCCATCTGGGGTACTGCAGTATTTGGTCAAAAAATATATGAAATTTGCGTTTCCAAACACTGCGATAGCATGTGTTTCTAACAATTCCAGTTGCTGTCGCCAGTGCTGAACGCTCGTTTATCAAACTGAAATTGATCAAAACTTAGATCATGTGACCATGTCACAGGAAAGACTGTCAGCTTTGTCTTTGCTGTCTATAAAGAACAGAATCGCAAGGCAGGTGGGCTTTAGTGATATCATCGCTAAGTTTGTTGCGACGAGTTAAGTTGTAAACTTTAAAATAACCAGTTACTCAGTATCGAGTACAATAAGTTAACCCGTTTTAGTTCTGCTCTCTTGCTCTGTGTGCATTGGCGGAGGGAGAAGGAAGTCGGGGGGGGGGCTTTTATATTTACTTGCAACCGGGCCGAAGTATGGGTTCGGTCGGCCCTGGTTGTAATTGTAAAATAGTCGTAAATATATAACATTCTATATTCTATAAATAAAATAATATAAACATTTTATAGATAGTATGGCTTAGCATGCTGCGTGACCGCCATTTAGCGCCATTATACTGTATGTGACACGACAAGAAAGCTAATGCAGAATGTAGTATAACTGCTTCATTACCCTTCACATCATGGATAAGGGCTCTGGGCTTTACGTGCGTGGGAACTGAGAACGAGTCGCTGCCGCAGTGTGTTGTGTGTTCCGAAGTGTTATCAAACGCGGCTTTAAAGCCAAACAAAATATGTCCCTGCAGCCCGATATCCAGCATTTGGTATCTGTCGAACAGCACAAGCCCTCTCACTAAGTGAGCCAGAAAGAAGGTGTGTGTGTTAACTGCCAGGCTTGGTGCAGGCTTTTGGGTGTGCGTTCATGCGTCAGTTTGTTTTGATTCCGCCTGTTGAGTTTTGTTTTTGACCAGGCTAACGTTAAGTTCGTGAGATATCATAATAAAGAGCCGTACTGGTGCCTTAGCTTTTACAATATGTTTCTTATTTTTTAATTTTTTTTGTAAGGTGCTGACTGGACTCCTTCTGTAATCAATAAAAAGTATTTGTAAAGCCATGTTTGTACAGTAGCTTGTATGTTCGGATTTTCTCTGATAACCGGTGCCGATTAGACTACTACTGAGGTATAGCGCAGGCCCGTTTCAAACGGCCTTGTCCTTCTATGTCTTTGTATCCGTTACTCCTGTCAGTGATTAAAGTCGTGCGCTGAGTCAGTAAGAGAAATAAATGAGGCTAAAACAGTTTTAATTATTTTTTAAAGTCTTTTAAGAACAGTTCCCTAATCATAATATGTGATAGCCGAATCCGTACTTTACAGTACTTAACACATTACTAAGGTAGTTGCTGTTTTTTTATCTTTACTGCTAAGCATACAGCTCGGGCACAACCTGCGCAATAGATAGAAAAGTTGGAAAATCGTTTGAGGAAGCAGATTCTGCAACGTTACAGTAATCAATATTTGTTGGTTTTAAAACCAACAACCAATAAGAAATGGAGTTTTCAAGGTTCAGGTAAGAATTCAGTGATACCGGATACCGTGTCAGACAATTTGAACTGTCCACAAAACTACGTACGTGCATCACCTGAAAAGCGGTTATCCAAAGCACCTTATTCATACACTGTTATTTTTGCTGGTGTGTTCATGAACGTTAGATGTGTATGACTGTAAACACAGCGGTGACCAGGCAACATAAAATCACCTGCACATGGAAAAAAAAAGAGAAAATTAAAAGATAAAGAATCAGACCTCAGTGCAGAACATGTGGATATACTTTAGATGTTAAAAATATCTTTTTAAAACTTCCAAGCGCTGTAAAGGTTTTTACCTAACTGTTTTCACTTGAAATTTCTACAAAACTGCTGACAAACTTAAAACAATCAACAGCACTGTTTTTTGTATGCAATGGATTTTTTACATATTAAAATATTTTTTCAGCATTTGTGCAGCCTATTTTATCTATAACTGCTTTTCCTACATGTGTCATGATGTCCCATGGCCATGCCCTCTCAACTGCTGTCAGGTTTGTGTTCTCAGGACTCATTAGGTAGTTAACTTCCAGGAGAGAAATGTATGCAGTTTTGGAAGTTACCAAAGCAATAGGCAAACAGCTTTTGAAAAATCTATTTTTTTTTATTTTTGTAATGCTAACGTGTGACTAGCTGATGAAGAAACAGCAAATGTTTTTATGTCCGTCAGATGATGTTAAATAGCCAACAGTTTACTGCAATGGGAAATTAATTCAATTTTGAGACAATCCATTATAGAAGCAATTTCCCTAACTTAAATTTAATAACAACAGCATGATTCACAATGCTATTAATTACGTTACAGATGTGCTATTCTTCATTTTAATTGAAAGACATTGTTTATGTAGTGATTAAGATGTAACACTAACACTAACAATATATTTGAACAAAGATATCCTTATTATGCAGAAGTCAAAAAGAATAAAAGATAAAAGTACAAACTTACTTATCTTTACTTAGGATCAAACATTAGGTCCAATAAAATATATTTCATTATCTTCATTATAGTAAATTCTTGACAAACGAATATCAATGCTTATTCATAATAATAAGATACATTTTCCCGTTTATCAATCTTTCACAGACTCAGAAGCATAATGGCTTTAGTTCAAGTACTTAAAGATGCTATGTGGGAACAGAATTCCTTGCACACAAAGTTTAGTGATTTTTAAAAATATTTCCGTGTCAGAATTAAAAAAAAGACTTTGCAGGACTATGCACACCAAGCTTTTAAACTACTTATTAGATCATAATTAGTCCCTCTATGAATTCAAATACTCTCGTTTTGCATAGCATAAATTTACACAGGTTGAACTCAACACTAACCTAACAAATGGAACACTGTGTAATAATAATAATTGCTTACACTTATATAGCACTTTTTCTGGAATTCCACTGAAAGCAATTTACAGGTAATGGGGACTCCCCTCCACCACCACCTGGATGATGTGACGGCAGCCATGGTGAGCCAGATCACTCACCACACATCAGCTACCAGTGGGGCGGAGAGCAGAGTAATGAAGCCAATTCAAAGATGGGGATTATTAGGAGGCCATGATTGGTAAGTGCCAATGGGAAATTTGGCCAGGACGCTGGAGTTACACAACTACTCTTTTCGAGAAACACCCTGGGAGTTTTAATGACCACAGAGAGTCAGGACCTCCATTTTACGTCTCATCCGAAGGAAGGCGCCTGTTTACAGTATAGTGTCCCCGTCACTATACTGGGGCATTAAGACCCACATGGACCACAGAGTGAGCGCCCCGTGCTGGCCCCACTAACACCTCTTCCAGCAGCAACCTTAGTTTTTCCCAGGAGGTCTCTTATCCAGGTACTGACCAGGCTCACATCTGCTGAGCTTCAGTGAGTTGCCAGTTGTGAGTTGCAGAGTGATATGGCTGCTGAAAAAAAGATGTTTGAAAGGGGCACAGGAATCACTGCATTTGTAAAAAATGAAGATTCTGCAAGGTTTCTCACAGCTGCAAACGCATTACCTATGATCTGTTCAAAATGAGGAAAAAAACACAATTTCATCAAAGATGTTTCACTTGCTTTAGTCTGTTTACAGAAAACCAGACCAATGTGCCATGTCACCCCCATATATCAATGCAAACCCCATGTACAGTATCTTCTTTTATATTTAAGCATAGTCATTCATATTTAATACTTTTGAAAGCTTTGTACAACGATGCCCTTCATTCACATTTATATAGCATATATAGAATGAAAGGCATTTCTTATTTTAAGACCATTTTGCAGTGTCAGTTGCTATTTCGTCAGTTGTCTCTTGTTTTTTTCCAGGTGTGAAGATATAATCAAGGTACAGGAAGAAAAAATTGCATGGATCAGTATGCAGTATCTGGATAGTATTTTCCCCCTGCAAATCCAGTGCATATTGTATCATCATCAGAAGAAAATAAACTAATAATAATTTGTAGACTGTTCAATGAAGACTTTAGAGAAAATGCTAAATGGAAGACAATGCAAATTTCAAAGACACATAACTTACACATGAAATTGGGTGAAACAGGATTGTTGAAATTTGGAAACTGAGGCAGCCCAGGTTTTATAAAGCACTTAACATGATAATGAGCTTATTGTTGAGGTAAATACATGTCTTTTAAGGAGTATTAAACATAGCTTTATTATGATGCTATTACTTTTAGATGAGATGTTACATTTTCACACATCTTCTTTGACTCTCTAGAATATATAGGACCGTCAATAGGAATAGGATCAAGACAGAAGTGTGAAGCAGCTGTTAGAACTCTGTTGTAATTGTAACTGGGCAGTTATGAGTTCAAATGCTGGGCTGTGTACTGCTCTTTGTACCCTTGAGATGCTTCACTCATATTGATCCCATAAAGAGTATGTACATTGATAATCTCCAGGTCATCAATGTAATTGACAATTTGTTCTCAACTGACTTATCTGAATAAATAAAAAGTTAATTTAATACCTATACTGTGTTCTGTAATTTCATCTTGAATTATTAATATCTTTATAATCAGAATGAATAATGTACACTGAGGAGTATCGTACATTATTAGATTATGTTACATATCTTACATTATCAACAAGTAGAAATCATAAATGAAAAGCACAAGATGTTTTGCTTTTCCTCACCGACAACTATTTAAAATGTAATTCTTATCCTGCCAAGTTGTTATCCAGTTGTCTTTGAACGTGATACATTGTCTACAGCAAAAATGTTGCTTGCAAGTCTGGGAATGTCCAGGCTAGAAATGAAGTTGAAAACATTACCACATCAGCAAAGATCCAGAAGGCAGACAGGACTCAACAGGCAGACAGGATTCAGCACTCTTAAGTATGCAGGCTATTGTGAAAGAAAAGCATTCAAGTAGAAAACAAGTTATTTCATTTGGATGTGATTTTAAGCATGAAAGAAACCTTTTATAGGATCCCTGTTCATGTAGCACTTGGGTCTGGCCAGTATAAGTTTCAGTGAAGCTAGGATGTTGGCTCACCACTGTCTTTAACACTTTCCTTGTGTCACAATCCATCATCCGGCCTGGTATTTTTATGTTAGTGTAATGCTGGCTCTAAAGATAAATCTACTGTAGGTATAAGAACATAAGAATGGTTACAAATGAGATGAGGCCATTTGACCCATCTAGTCCATTTGGTTGGTAGTAACTTCATCCAAGGATCTCATCTGGCTGTTTCTTGGAGGAAGCCAGGGTACCATGGCTGGGTATCTTGTTCCACACTTCCACAACATATAGAATATATGCATATGGAAGTGCCTCCTGTTTTCATTTTTAAATGTACATCCATGTAGTTTCCACTTCTCGTTTGTGTTTCATTCTGAAGAGGTACACGGCTTTGAATTTGTCAGTCCTTTTGAGGATCTTGAGTATTTGTATCATGTCCCTTTATAAGTCTTCTCAAAGTCTAAAAATGTTTAGTTCTTTTAGCCTGTCAGAGTAGACATCCTTTTAAGCCGAGGAATGTTTCAGGTTGCTCTCTTCTGAACTAATTACAGGACAGTAACACAATGGGATGACCACTAAATGAAGAATGAGAAAGGAAGAAAAATAAGAACTGCTTAAAGAGAAAGGACACTTTTTTCCTGTTAACATTATTGCTGAAGAGCGGTCGTATAACATTTCAATCATATTACTGAAATAGAATAAAAAACCCATAGTTAGAAACCATTCACAGATATTCCCATTTAAACATATCAAAAGCAGCCTATAATGGTGTGTATACTGTAGGTATAGGGCAATGATCATTATAAGACTTAAGGCAATATTTAATAAAGAAAGCTTGATTATAGTGAACTCATTTGGTCATACAGACCTACATCTACCAGTGTGATAGCACCTTAGCATATAGCTTGGTGTATGTGGTGACCAAAACTGAACACAATATTCTAAATGATAATGCATTATACAATTTCGGAGGAACATGCCTTGTTTCAAATTATATGCTTCTAAGATTTTGTCTTTTGGAAAAAAAATAAACTATCTCAGAGGATTAAGCAGTTGGAAAGGACCAGGTGATCTCAAGAGGATGACAGCAGTTGGTGACAAAAAATATTAGAGTTGTGAAGAAAAGCTCTTAAATAACAGCCAAAGAGATCAATCGTCAGAGTACAGGTACATGGTTAGAGTATGTCAATTCACTATGTGCAGAATACTTTGAAAGGAGACTTATAAGGGCTACAATGCAAGATGCAAACCTCTCAACAGCACTTACAACAGAAAGGCCAGATTATAATTTGCAAAGAAGCACAAAGATGAGCCACAACAGTTCTGGAACAATTTTTTTATAGACAGATGAGATGAAGATAAACCTTTATCGAAGTGATGGAAAGGTAAAAGTGTGGAGAAAGAGAGGAACTACAAATGATCCTAAGTACACCGTATCACCTGTGAACATGGTGGAGGCATTGTCATGGCTTGGGCATGCATGGCTGCCTCTGGAACTGGCTCACTGGTTGTTATTGACATAACTGACAATGGCTGCAGCTCCAGTTGAAACTGTCAGCTCCTTCAGGTTCCTCGGCATTCAGATCACTGAGAGGCTGAGCTGGTCAGAGAACACTGCTGCCATCCTCACTAAAGCCTACCAGCACCTTCACTTCCTGAGACAGCTAAGGAAGTTGGGGATGAGCAAGACAACACTCACCAATTTTGACACACCTGAAGAAGGCTCCACGGCCGAAACATTGTGTTCTCTTTCTTCTTTTTTTCAGCATGGAATAAACCTATTACTTGTTCCTTTACTCACCAATTTTTACCGTAATATGATTGAGAGTATCCTGACCGGTGGTATTATGGTGTGGCATGGTGGAGCCACACTGCAGGACAGAAAAGCCATACAGAGGGTTGTGAGGTCGGTGCAGAAAATCTTTGGGACCAAACTACCCTCCATCAGCTGGATATACTGTATCTTGACTGTGGCCACAACCGGACTCAAGCTATATGTCAGGACCCAGTTCACACTGGCCATGATCTGTTTTCACCCCTGTGTTCTTGTAGGAGGTATTGCAGTATCAGAACACTGACCAATAGATTTAAAAACAGTTTCTTCCCCCAAGCAGTCCGCACCATAAACAGCTCAAATTATCAGTCGCACTTTAAGGTGTAAGCACTATGACCCATCTTGGCTGTATTATAACGTCTATTGTCTACATTTTTTTTCCGTGTCTGTTTGTAATTTGTGCCTATTTTTTTCAAATGTTACTAGGTACAGCTGAACGAGTAAGCATTCCAATACATTTGTTGTATACGGTAAATAAAAAATCTTGACTCTTGAATCAAAAGTACAGAAATATCTTGTTCGCTCACATCCAAAAAACGCCTCTATACGCATTGGGCAGCAAATGACCCTGCAAAAAAACAATGACCCAAAATATACTGCACACTTAACCAAGGAATTCATCAGGAAGAAGTGGAAGAAATTTCAATGTCTTAAATTGAGGAGAAAACTATAGCCAGAAAAGCAGATGATTAACATCTCAAAGCTGTTGCAGTTAAGGCTGGACAAAGTTCAGTATCCCAAAGGACCATATCAAGACTCTGATGATGACAATGGGGGACTGAACACAATAAAATTTTGTTCTAACATGGTTTAACATAAATGCACGAAAATATTTAGAAATAAAAACTGACATCCTACACTTTTGCCTCATATTGTTTTTTATCTGAAATTAAATTTTTAATACACAGCAAAAATGACAAATTTCACTGCAATGTCCCAATACTTACCCTTTTCACTGTATTAAGTTCTTCTAATATAAACCAGGTATCCTTTTTCCTCCTTTATATTCATTAATATAGAACTTCCTCAGCTTTAGGCCAGTTCTTGATTGTATCCTTGAAAAGCATCTGAGTGAAAAACGCATTTCATACATCAGCCATTCCAATTTCATCTAGAAGGTTCCATCATTATCCAAACACTTTTGACTTGATCCTTTACTGAAAGAATGCTGTATAGATTAAACTTTTGCAACCACAGCAAAGAACAGGAAAATATAACAGCACTCAGCTATTTTTATTGTGTGGGCCTTTTGACATTCTTTAAATATATAACATCAACCTGTTTGGCACTTATGTACACAGAAAAATTACAGCCCATTTTAATGTGTATAGTTACCATATTAAAATACGACAAAATAATCACTTGAAAATATTTTTGTATTTTAGAAAGCTGTTCAATTTCTATCTATTGTCCATTATATTAGTAACAACTCTCGAGGGCCAAGGGACCCCTGGACCCCTGTCTTTCACTGTCCCTCTGGCCTTCTTCTTTTTTCAACATCATACAAAATAAAGCTAAAAATATAAACAACTGCATTTTTAAAAAGTCAATTCCTTTCACTTTAAAATCATTACATGCACAATGTACTTTTTACAGGGCTGGACACTTCTGTGTATGGAAAGTTAGAAAGCAAGGTTTTTTCAGGTACTGTTCAGGTCATGAGGCTCACTTTCAAACAGCAGTTGTGTCCCAGAAAAGATATTTATATACTTCACATAAAAAACACACACATACAAAGACTAAAGCCAACAAGGTGGTATTGGGGAATTTTGTTCAAAACAACTCAAGACAATAGAAATTTAGAAGAAACGAAAATGCTTCACATTTTATTAGATTACTTTATTTAAAAAATAGGACTCTCCACATATAATCATTGTGTTGGATAACTCCCAGATGTAATGAGAACTTTGACAAAACAGTGTTAAATTTATCACACTTTTACAATAACCTTGCAGTACTACAGAAACACTGATATCGGATCACTAGCGATTCACCTGCATAGCATGTTGTTAACAAGAGAAGATCACACTTCGACTGATTGAGTTACATCAAAAACTACTGAAACAAAGATGTTTAAAACATTTCAAAATCAATTTTCAGTGAGTAAATTTCTTAAAGAAAGTTTGTGTTTAATAGATCTTTTGTATTCTACAGAGCTATATTCTAGCATGCCTACCTTAACTAAGGTTTTAACATATGGATCCTACATATATTTGGCAACTTCAAAGATACACTTTTAGAGCAGCCCCAAATACTTGGTTTCCAAAAAAATTCTGCAGTGAAAACAATCTTAGCGAACACTCTTTAAAAGTACTGTACAGTAATTAGGCTACTGTATAAGTGTAGTGAATATTGCCTTGTAATATTACAAACTTGTTACCTAACATAATGCTATTCATGTGTTTCAGTTAGAGCATGTCTGCTTAACAGCAGGAGGACATGCTTATAATGCAGATCTCAAGTAGTCCACATCAACCCAGTAGAGTCCTGCCTTAAAAAACTGCTACAGTAGTTTCAGAGAATTTTGCAAATTAAAAGAAAAGATTAGTAAATGCAAAACCTATATCAGAAGCTGATATCCTCACACACTTGATTCTCATAAAAAGAAGCTGGCATAAGTAGAATCTTTTAATAAAGTACACACATGAAGAGATCAGAGAGAAAAATAGGGTTGTTAACAGATACTTCTATTAATATTTTTGTTTAAAGGGGATGTGACTATTGGCTGTGAACATACAATTGTTAGCTAAGATTCAGTGTTATGAAAGACATTTGGGATAAACCCTCAAAATGTGAAGCAGATAAGCCTGTATATTCACAGGACGAGAGTCACAAATCAGAATTCTCACACTGGGATTACTTCCATACCTTATGAAGATGGACTCCCGGAATGGTATGTATTTGAGATTGTCAACACCTCACTGTTTTTATCTTCCTTTACTGAATTGAAATCCTCTTGCTCTGTCTGATCTTAGTCATGTTAGTGACTTCATATTGTTAGCTTGGCCACCACTCTTTCCCTGAGAATGCTGTTACCTGTACTTTAAATCTGGACTCATTGCTACACCCATCATCTTTCAAACTCATTTTATCTTATGATTTGTCCCTAGATTTTGGATTGGGATTCTATGAACTCAGTACAGCAATAGCATTGGAAGCTGTTAAATCTAGCTTTCCACAGAGTTCTAGTTTAGGATCCTTGTTGCTCAGTCTGGAGCTTCTTAAACTTCTAGCTTGGAATGCTGAGCTGCTCTTTTAGTGTTCCCCAGGGCATGATCTTGGGACCTTTGGTCACTTCATTACATCTATGATGTCACTTGGTGATATTATCAGGAAATGTACACTTGTATTTCACTTCTAAATTGGTCATTCACTTATTTAAGTGATGGTTCCAATCCAAATCAAAAATAGCTAAGCCTTTTCTTGTACATTACCTAACTAAAATCCAGTCATGGATGATTATTAATTGGTTTATATTAAATCCATATAAAATAGAGATGCTGTTGTAATCTAAACAGATTACCGAAATCTTATTCTTTCAGCATAACGTTTGATGGCACTGTTACTATTTTCAGATCAGTTTGCATTTTAAGGCACCTCACCCATATGCAACTAATTGTTCACTGAGAATGTAGATTTACTCATCGCAACCTAACACTATCCTCAGTCAGTCAGATTGAGGCATTCAGTTGTTATCCTCGCTGTGCTGAACCTCCCTCACCATCCACATTAGAAATCCTTATACAACAGACTATTTTAAAATTAAATTGAAAGCCTTTCATTTAGTTGGTCATTTATGTAATTGCTCCTAACTGGACTTGGTATTGCATCTGTTTTGTTTTTAATTTTATAGTGGGCTCTGGGATCCCCTGGTATGTAAGATGTTAAATAAGATAACATCTGTATTGTATTTACAAAGACAGTCTAGCTTTTTGCCTCTGGCACTGTACAGTTATAGTATCGCCCCTCATACATAAACCTACTGAATTTCTTAAACTTATGACACTATGTAATATAGAACATTCTACAACATAATACATAATGGCAGCTTTTTTTGGCTCTGGTAGTAGAGAGTTAATCTATTCCATAGCTCATTCACTCACTTAAAATTGTTTACCATGATGTTTCAACTATAGAGTTGCCATAGAATTTAAGTTTGCCATTGTTCTAGGACCCGTGAGAACCATGACAACCGTTGCAATGTTGCAATGTAAAATGCAAAGAATTTTGAAGGTCGCTAAAGCTTTTCAACTAATACTGTAACCAGCCAGTGAATCATCAGACAGATTCTGTACTAGCTGTACAGTTAAAACGTGAACATACTGAAACGCTGCAGATGTCCTAGCAGAATGGCAAAACACTTTAAACCATTCAATTCCACAAGACCATAACAGAAACCACACATGAATCAGCGAACAAAAACGATACGGCACCGAAGTCGCCCGAAAGGATGAATCATAAACCTTTGCTTTGATAAAGGCAACCTATACAATATTTTTAGCTTGGAGGTTAGACTGGTAGTGGCACAATTTGGCCTGTACAATTGAGTATGTTTATTAAGTCCGTTAAGAAATGTGGCACCTATCAAGCTGAGGAAAATACCATCTCTTAAAAATTGAACAGAAGGCATTCATTAGGGTGTATTAGTGATTTTAGAAGTACTGTCCTGTTATCTCTAACATTATCATCTGTCTTTTCGTGTAGTATTAAAGAGTTTTAATTCACAACTGTTACAATTTAAAAAAAAACTCAATATATTGTATTGAATCACATGAATCCATTTTTTGTTTATGAATACCTTATATATCTACTAAATGAAACATTCAATTCAAACATATAGGACTTTCTACTACTATGGTTATTTTCTAATGTTTTCTCTTTTATATCTACAAAATAAAACTTCTTTACATTTTAGAGTTGAGATGACAATTGATCATCTTTGCGGCCTAAGTAAAGGGATGAAAACCCTACAGACGAAAGGTTCAGGACCAACAATCCAAACATCTCTTAAGTAGGAGATGAAACAGCTTTTTGAATCACAGTTTTGTCAGGAAGGTTGTAGCTTTTTCAGCCTTTGATTCAATCATTTACTGCAGGAAAGGATGCAGACCTGTGTCTGGTGAAAGGGCACGACATGAGAAACACCAACAGGCGTGACGGGTAGCTCTTCTGGGTCACCTTTGTGAAGCCAGATCAAAGAAAGGTCAAACGTCCCAAATACCCATTTTAAAAAAGGCAGTAAAGTGTCTGACTTCCAGTAGTTCACAGGGTTGCTTTGTAGTTTCATTTGAAACCAAGAAAGATCATGAAATGTCATGAAAATTAACCAAAAAGTAACATGATAAAATCTCCCAGGGTACTCATTACATTTTTCTAAAGAAAAAAAAAACACATTCTGATTAAAAGTACACCCAGAAGAAAGAAAGAAAAAATGGACCTATTGTTTGGCAGAAATGTGGGCAAATTTTTGGCATACTCCTGCAGGCTCGACTACCAATTCAGGTATTATTTCAGGTGATATCGTATCATCAAAACGCAGCATGTAGTAAAGCTAATAAGGAAGGTAATGTAAAGAGGCTCAGTGCATTGAGAAAGTTACAGAAGTGTGAAATCTAAACAGAATAGTACTCTGTAGTGGCAGAGAAATGTCCTAGACAACCTAGGGAGTGGAGCCACATCCAGCTTGGAGCCAGGAGTGACTGAGATCAAACCCCCAGAAGGGGCTGAGAATGTAACATTGGTCATAGTAACCACAAAGGATGCCTTGGATTTTTCAGTGCTCCCAGTCAATACTCAACAGTCCATCCAGTTGAGAGTTAATTTCAAAATGGCCATCTTGAATCAGCCATCTCCTGGAACAGCATTTACCAGAGTGAAAAAATTGAGTATTTCATTCAGATAGTAATATAAAAAAACAGAGGAATGGTTGTCCTGGATATTATTATTAACAACTGACTTCTCTCCCACATCCCTTAAATGCCTGAAAGTGTAGGTACAGAGGGAATTCTGAAGCCTTAAATGGGGCTCATTCTGAATGAACATGGTGATCAAAATGGAGCTCTTGGGATAAATCCCAAAAAGTACACCTACGGGTTATAATAGGTCCATTTTCTCAAAAAGGTCCTCCTCTAAAAAGTCAAAACTTGCATAAAACAATTGTAACTAAAATTGAAAAATTACGACAAACAAAATGTCAGTAGATTTTGGCCTTAGCGCACTTTCTAAAAAATACATATTTACAGTATCAGGAGAGGTTTCACAGTTCATGGATTTTCCTCTTAATGCATACTATGTTATAATTTATATTAGTTCATAAAAATCTCTGGGTACCATGGGAAGGAATTAATATTTACAGTTTTAAATTAGAAAATGGCTTTTCCATTTCGGATAGTGGCTTTCTTTACAGGATTCCAGCAGCTTTATCTTGTACAGTTTTTCGTCTCTTTCTTCAGCAGCTTCTTTCCTTAGTTATCGTCCGTCATTTTTAATAATTCCAGGAGAGCACCCACAGCTCCGAAGTAGCCCTTTAAAGCAAAGCAAATGGTCATCCCATTTCATTTACACAAATTACCTTTACCGCACGTCCACAATCCGCTGTACTTCATAGTCAAATTAACACTTGTTTAATCTTTTAATCATTCAATCAGAATAAATGTGATGCCTCTGAAGTTAAGGTGAAGCTGAGCTCACCATGCTCTGTGGTTGACATAGTTCTGCAGTTCACCTAGACTAGGAATTGAGTTGTGTGTGAGTTGTACTGGGTCACAGTTTTATAACAGCTGACAATATTATGCCAACTCTGTAAAGGAAAATTGAAACAGGAAGTATAGAGACTGTAACTCATTTTCCAGGCTCTGTGACCAATGACCCTGAAAATGCCAATTCTATAATCTAGAATAGAAGCTCAAAGTATGTTTTATGTTTCTACAACAAAAAGAGCAAATTTTACCTCATGCTCCAGGAATAAAGCCTTCAGCTGTCCTTTTGACCAAAAATCCATGGCATATGCCAGTAGCTTCATGGACACCATGTTGATCCGGAGGAAATTCCCAACAAAAACTACCCTCTCTATTTTCTGAAAGAGCACATGGACATATCAGCAAATTATGTTGTGTTCAGCAAAAGGAGATTTCACTGTTGAAAATGTTTGATCAAAACAGTACTGCGTGAAAAGAAAAAAAAACTTCTGTTAAAAAAATCCATGCATAACAATGGAAACATCAAACATCAACTGACAAAATTAATATAAAAACAACCAAAAATTGGTAGTTGACCACATTATGTAGACAAGATGTTTTACATTACAATACCTTGACAATGATGCCACCTAGTGGCGCACAACAAGATGAACCGGTGTGGATTGTCAGCATTGTGAAATATTAAAATAGTTTTGAACAAGTTTTACAAGAAAATTCTCTATAGGGCAAATCAGAAAGTCATTTCAGATTTCTCCATTTTTAACATAAGGGGATATAAGAGAAACACCACGAAAGTAATTTTATCGTATTCTTCAGTAACTTCGGAGAAGACGTATTCTGGTTGGGCTTTTGGAACAGGGCGGAGCTGCTTTTGTGGTTTTATTTCATAATGATAAAAATATGGCAGGCAATCAATTCCACAGCTCTGGCGGGCGCTTCAGTTCTCCTCTGAGCCATTGAAATAGTTTAACCCTAGACCCTATAAGAGAAACACCACGAAAATAATTTTATCGTATTCTTCAGTAACTTCGGAGAAGACGTATTCCGGTTTGGCTTTTGGAAAAGGGCGGAGCTGCTTTTGTGGTTTTATTTCGTAACGATAAAAATATGGCAGCCAATCAATTCCACAGCTCTGGCGGGCGCTTCAGTTCTCCTCTGAGCCATTGAAGTAGTTTAACCCTAGACCCAATTTGTGAAATTAAAAAATGTCTTTTGAAAAGGTAAACTCAAGTATGAAATTAAAATGCCACTGGCTGCTGAATTTATATTTATATTCCTCCAACGGATGCAAAAACAGTTCTTAGAAATTTAGAAAAACGTTTTTTTTTTCTAATTTTTGAAGTGGCAAAACTGATTCTGCCCAAAAACTCTCCGTGCTTTTCGAAAGTGTTTAATTATATTTGCAGCTAAATAGACGAAAATGCTATTATTTTCGTTCTCTGAAGAAAGCACACAGAGGAACAGATGCCATGTACAGCAACAGACACCCTCCTTTATGAGGAGGGAATAATGTCTGAGAGACAATCTGGAAGAAACGTAACGAGTTTCAAAGTGTAAGTCCACGCAAGGAGGAGAAGCCCGATATGCATTGTTCTAACACTAAAGGGAAAGTACAGCACAAGCTTTGCTTGTGGGACCTGGAGAGAAAAAAATAGGTTAATCTGTGCCCCAAGGCTGAACAATGTGTTTTGGCCAAGACCACAAGGTGGCTGAATGATAAGAATACAATTGGAATAGTGGTGCTTATTTGGGAAGACGTCCAAAACTCCACTGCTCACATATGTTAAAAATAATGTGCCACTGCACAAGGACATAGCAAAAAAAATGACAGATCTATGAACAGAGCTAATATTGAAGCCATATGCTTTTCAGGCATTGTAGTTCCTCGTGCTGCTCTCTGTGCTTTGATAGCCCTGTACAATGCTGCTTGATCTCCATGCCACAAGGCAACACTGTAAAGAAGCTAAAAACACAGAGAATTTGGCTCCTTACAGATGACCAAAAGACAGCTTTTATTCCTTATACCATAAATACAATTCAGAACCTTTTGTTTCAATTATTATATAAAGCTGATAATTCACAGTACTTCTGTAACCCCTTTAGGTTTCCACTGTCTGTGGTTTTGTGTTCTTGTGTTGTGATATCATTCTGTTGCTCTGTCTTATCAGAATGGCAGTGTGTCATTGATTTATACAAAGACTTAGAGACGTTGTCCCACTTAGTACCGAATACACCTCTCATGCCTTTTCTAGTGGAGTTTCCGTGCGAGTATTAGTTTCTTTGCGCAGACCAACAGGCTGTGTGCCTCTGCAGTGCACAATGGAGAACGTGGTGGTTGCCGCACTTTGGTGCAGATTTGATGGGCATTACCTCGTTTACCGCGCACATGCGAGCGATGGAGCCGATGTTGTTGGTGATGGTGACGAGGGTGGCTCTGGCAAGGTCTTCCTTGCTGATTGTGTCCCGTTTCTCTTTACTCATCATGTGGCCAAAGCTATAAAAACACACACACACAGAGTTGAAGAATGTTAGAGTCAGCATTTCTGCTCTGAGACTGTCAGGTCCTGTTTCAGGAGGAACAATAACATCCCATGAGAAAAACCATTTGGGAAAGTCACTCAGCCCCCACAGGGACAGAGAAGTCAGCCAAAAAATGAGCTGGAGATGGGACTCATGGACTGTTCTAATCTCAAACCGCTTCATGCATGCATACATACATTTGTATGGATGACGCACGTTTTATACAGCTGGTCATTACAGAAAGAGCAAAACACAGGAAGGTCAAAGTTAGTGTCATAAGGTCCAGTGAGCATGTGCTCTGTTAGACGGAATTCATTTTCTTAGATTAAAAGACAGGTATGAAAATGTTTGGGCCTGCCCTCAGGAAGTGCCTCACCTGGATGCGACAGCAGACCCTTGCAGTCCAAATCGCTCGTAATCTCCCCCGTAAATGTCCTTCACTAGTTTATCCACATTGGTGCTGTTCCCCTTGGCTGCCATCTCCAACGCCTCCTCAAACGTCTCGCAGCCTGTCAGCAGGCAGCACAGCCCCAGGAATGTCCCGCCTCCTAGACTTTGAGGTGGAAGCAGCCCACAGGAAATACGGAAATTAAGTGCCAAGGACAGGAGGCAGTACAGCCCATTAAGCCCATTTTGTTGTTAGTCACGAAGTGGTCAGTGGATCTCATGAGGGTTATCAGCTTAGCCCTTTCTCTGAAGAAGTGTCTCCAGTTTTCAGTTAAATGCTACTCCCCTGAAGCTCCTGTCTGCTCAAAGACTACCTGCATTTCAAACAGTACAAAAAATGTTTCCGAAGACCAGGATTCATTTTATCACACCACTGTTGTGTTCTGCTTGACAAACTCATATATTCAAGAACAACAAGAATAAAAACTGATTTTGGCAAATAGATTATATTCATGCAGGAGGTCACTGGACATGCTTTGTAAATTCAGTACACTAGAGAACATAATTTGGAAAATGAATGATGGCACTGTGACCAAACACCACATCAGGATGGCTGTCGGGAAGTAAACAGAGCTTTTTGAAACACATAAGGGTGTGAGTGAGGATTATACCACAACTAATTATACTTCCTTTAACTCATAATAAACCCACAAAGTAAACCAATAAAGCATTGAAAACTTCAGTAAAGTCAGTTACATTTTTGTATGTGCCAAAGGAAAATTAACTTGAAGGTTCAGATAATTGATGTCTGTTACTCAGCTATAGTTTTAAAGATGTTTATGGTGTTATGATGTTCAATTATGAACTCCCCAAGGGAGGCGCGATTTGAATGGAAACAAAAAGGCATTTTGCAAATTCTTTCTTTCAAATGTATTTCTTCTGTCTATTCTGAAATTAAACTGATCTGCTGGTGGCAATTTTCTGTTATCAAAAGCACTTTCAACTATAATGCTTCTAAGTTCAAGAACTGAGATTGCTAATGTTTTCACTAACAATTTCATTTTTCATGTAAAAATGCACATATTCTTGTTTTTTGCCCCAATTTGTAGTCCAACTGCAACTACATATTTGCATGCAAATATATATAATGGGCTACAAAAAATATCTAAGCTTTTATTAAGGAGTTTTGGTTATGTTATAATAAGCTCTGTAAAGATACAAAAAGATGTCAAAGGTATTAAAAGATACCATCATGCAGTTCACTCACAAAATCATTTGTCTCTAAAACAACAATACATACAGCTATGGAGATAATTACCTGGTCCCAGTGACACGTTTATAACTGTCCTTGGAATAAACAGCCAGAATGCTGACCCCTGAGCCTATGTTCACCAGTAGCATAGGGAAGGGATTATCCAGACTGCAGGGTCTTTTCACACAGTTCTGGGGGTCTGAAGGGTTTTCGAAGAAGTAGCACTCTGGATGCCCATTGAACCCAACAGAATCAACGTAGAGGAGGCCCTGGATGAGGCAGTCCAGCTCGTCGAGTTTCAGCAACTCCAGATCTGCCATCTGGAAAGAAGAGATAAACCATTCTGAGCACAAGCAGAACAAACAGCGGGTTAATCAGTGAGCAGGTGTCTCTAAACAATTTCGAGGCGCACCAGACATTACTGCACAGCGTGGTCCCTGCCACTAATCACTGCAGGAGACTTAGCAAGCCAGTTCTTCAAAGCAACCACACTCACAGTTATATTTGCCAACAGTTGACAAATCCTGACTTAGCAGAAACAGAAAACATGTTCCTTTGTATCAGCTGCTTGACAATCACCCACATTGCCTGTTGGTGATGGAAGATCAAAGAGATTCACATCACTTAGACCTAATTAACTTGACTATAATCTTTAAGGAAAAACAAACTGTTGCAAAAAGCAGAAAACCACAAATATCCCTTGAAAAGAAATTGCACTAAATAATCCAAAAAATCAGTGAGAAAAAGATAATTGTGACCAATTACCCTCAAGAGGGTGTTTGCATTTAAAAGACATGGTGACACAAAAATCATTTAATGGAAAGAATAACACAGTAGCGCAGTGCTTAGTTCTATCACACATCTCTCCAAATTGGAGTATCTTATAAACACCTGGCTAATTCACCCCCACCATGTTATGAACGTAGAAAGGGCAACAGAGGGAACCAAAAGAGACGGCACTTTGCAAGGGTGGTGCTCTTGAGTTCTCGCGAGACAGTGTTGGGGGGCAGGCGTGGTATTAATCTCTCGCGGACCTGTAGGGTTTGATCTGTCTGCTCTGCACATGCTGAAGAAGACATACAGACACTTGTTGTGTAGAATGTTTATAGAGAGAGCAGGTAACATTCCAGTTCAACTGGAGGGTAGGGATAAGCACTGTCAAATTGCAATTGTGTTATGTATGACAATCTTTAAGCAGGTTCTAAAGACTTACATAAAACTGTCTCTCTCCTAAACACAACATTCGTGGTGACACAAGAGTGGGGCTGTATCCCTTTGAGAATGACAGTACTCAAAGCATAATAAGAGAAGACACGCTTCTATGTGTCCCTGTTTGTTCTCCGCAAAATGGCCTCCCCAGTAAAAGATGAGAAATCTTTTCAAACCTTCGCTGAGAAGCCCCGTGACGTCCTGCACCCCTACGTACCGTTCGGAAGTCCTCCTCGAACTTGTAGGCGCCCCCTCCTGTGGCGCATAGCGTGGTGTGCAGGCTGGAGAAGTTCTTGTCGCTGCCCATCTGGATGAAGCGGTGCATGGCCTGCGTAGGGAAGCGGATGAAGTGCAGGTGGCCCTTGCGGCCGCACATGGTCAGGTTCTTCAGCTCCAGGTGGACGTCGCGGATGCCCGTCTTGCCGTAGGCCGTGTTGGAGGTCAGGTACTTCCGGATGCTCTTCAGGTTCTCCACTTCCTCCTGCTCCTCCTCTGCGGTGATGTCCTTCGGCTCGAAGTAGACCAGCTTAACCAGGGTGCCGCCGATATCCATCCCGAACCAGGGAAAGGCTGCAACACAGTGCCATGGAAAGTGCTGTCAGGAAGCTAGGGTATTATGGGAGCTGTGGCAGCTCAGACAGCAAAGGGCGTCTAGCTCCTAACTGGAAGGTCCCGGGTTCAATCCCAGGTAGAAGCAAGCGATGTAGCTTGCTCTGATTCCTTCCTGATGGCTCCCAGGTCCACTCAGCCTGCTTTTCAAATGAGTACCGGGGGTTAATCCTTCCAGAGATAACAGGCTGGCCGGAACTGATGCTGACCACATCACCTCTACCTCCTGTGTCGGATGGCCTAGAAAAATGATGGCCCAACCCCCAGTTCCCCATGGGCCTTTATGGCCTAAAAAGGGACCTACTCAGCTAGGGTATTATGTCAATAAAATGGCTCAGCAGCATGATCCACACACTCCTGGACTTGTTTCCTATCATCAGTCTTGCATGGCTTATCTCTTTATTTCTGTTTCTGACCCCGGGTCCTTGTTTTATTTTGAGACCAAACTAGTCTGTTTCCTCCAGGTGCTCCAGTTTCCTACCACAGTCCAAAAACATACTGGTAGGTTAATTGGTTTCTGTCAGTGTGCCCTGTGATGGACTGGTGTCCTGTCCAGGATGCACCCTGCCTTTCCCCTGTTGCTTGCCAAGATAGGCTCCGGCTCCCCCATGACCATGAATTATAACAAGCACAGAAAATGGATGGATGGGTTTGTTGGATTCATCTTAAATACTTAAGATCACATTTTGTTTATTTTAATGAGGATGAACATGTTACATGAAATCTGCCTCTTCAGCCAGCACTCAGGAGAAATCCATCCCTTCAAACCCCATCCAGTGCTGTGGCAATGGTTGCTATGGAAACAGCCACAGAAAGAAGACTGTCTAGAGATTCACAAACCATGCCAAACAACCCATTTTAAAATATTTCTAAAATAAATTAATAAGTAAGCATAACAAATGCTAGACACCCCGTAATGTGGCTATTAATCTGTTTTAAATGGATTTTCAATCATATTGTAGACTTACCTTTTAAATTAGCCTCCTATGAATAACCTAATGACATTTCCAATTTAATAATCATTAAACCACAATTTTAACAATATTTGTAACAATAATGAAATATGACACACAGCAAAGGACTGTCTGCACTTTGCACCATGTGTTCCTGTCTACAATGTCTATGTCAGCGTCCTGTCTGTCCTGTCTGTATTTGCACTGTGGACCAGGAGGAACGATATTTTGTTCCACTGTATGCTTGTATACAGCTGGAATGACAAACAAACATGAACTTGAACTTAAGCAATACTTGATGGTGTTTTGTTTTTCAATTGGAGTGAAGAATGCTTTTACCAATATTTATGCACTGATGGCCTCATCTTCTTTTTCCATTGACTACATAACAACATGAGAAATGTTACAAACAAGAGGAAATGTTACAAGCAAGCTGTTAGCAGCTCATTAATCTGAGGATCTCATCCAGCTGTTTCTTGAAAGAAGACAGGATATTGGGTTCAACCACATGACTATTTTGCTCCACACTCCCACAACCATTTGTAAAGATGTGCCTCTTGTTCTTGGTTTGCGAGTTTTGACCGACCTTCTTGAATGAAAGGTGAATTCAGTGAGGTACCTTGCTGTTCTACTTACAGAAATTGAATCACTTTCACCTGTCACCATCTGGGTTTCGTTCAGGTTTGGGGGGGTAACAAAAATTATTCAAGCCACAGGACTTGCAGTGAGTCTTCCAAATAGCAAAGAAGGCTGTAACTCAATCCTTTCCTGGGCTGGCTGTAATGATGCAGATGTTTTATCATTTTAAAAACTGGATTCTTCATTTATTCTGAATTCATACAATCTTATATTTTAAAACCAGTCACGCTCTAAATTAATAACACTGTTACATTTCAGATTTCTTGCACTGAATCTTATTCTACAACATTTACCTACTTTTTTTCAAGTAACCTAAATTATTCAATCACCCCCCATCTTGTTTCTAAAACTTTATTTTATGCTACATCAAGTCTATATAAAGATTATGTAAATATTCAAACAAGTATTAGCAGGGTGCATTGAGGACAGAGTCCAAACTTCTACAGGGAAGTGTACTAAGAAATCAGCTTTTGTACTTCTCATATTTTTTATTTGCCTTCAATGCGGATATGTTTTAAATACAGCAAATTAAACTCCCCGTCTAGACATCTGAAAACATTTCTTAGAGTCAAGTCAGATTACTTCAGACTTTTGCAAGAAAAGGCTCTTTAAATTTGCATCACTCTCAGGATCCATCTGAACCCGTTTCTTCACCCTCATGGAAATCATGACTTGCTCCACATTAGAAGATGATGACTTGTTCTCAGTTTATTCCCTTAGCTAGAGGCATATAGACTTGACCATTGAATTAACGTGACAGCCTTTGTGCGTCTGAAAAATAATATCTGTGCTTTAACTTACATGGTGGCTTAAAAACCTAAACTTCCCACACAACTGCAAATACACTTGAAATGTTAAACTTAGTAACATCTGGGAGGGGACAGTTATGGTTCATATTACAACACTCATTTTAGTTAAAACAGTGCCTCCTCAGACAGACACTCTGAATGGGATTGGCTGAGAAAAATCTTAAGAAAGATCCCTTTTGAATTAAGGGCTTAGACACACCTCCTTATCATACTGAAGGTTACAATCGTACATTATGAACTCGGTCACCTAAGCTTCTCAGAACACTTTCTGAACACAGTATCTGCCTAAGTCACGATGAAAGCTGTTGGGAAGTGGGGAAATGTTTGCCTCAACTACTGCATCATTCAGGTCCTCAGCACAGGTTCCCGAAAACAGGTCAGCTCGCAATGGTGGCCAAATTACACAAGTTCTTATCAGCAACGTTAACCACATTGTGTAGAACTTAGACTTAGAAAGGGCCCCTTGGATCTTTTTAGATAATTTACTCGTTCAAACATAAATGAAAAGCAATTAAAATGGGGGCAGGATAGACATACATGCTTTCATCTTGTTGCAAAAGTCATTTGCCACAATTAAGGGAAAATAATTCAGGAATGCTTTACATGAATGTACATTTTAGAAACACCACTTGACCAGCTGCGGCACTGCGTTATAACATGGTCTTTTTTTTTTGCTAGGAGCGTGTATTTCATAGCAAGCTACTGCATTATTGTTTTTGAACTACTGCATTAAATGAATGTATATCAGGTGTTGTTAATCTGAGAATAAACCCAGGCTTGCATAATGGAGTGCAGTACTAATGTAAGTCTCAATACAATAACATGAAGATTTTCTTTTCTAGTTATTTTCTTCACAGTTGATGTAAAGTAAACCCCATTCATACCAAAGCTCCTAAGTGAATCAACAATTAACAATGGAGCTTTTGTCTAAAACTCTTTTTTCAATTATTTATTCAGCAATGAAACACATCTGGAGGCAATTTCTTAGACAAACCTTTTAAAAATAATTGTAAACTCCCCTTGAACTCAATACACCTTTACATACAACCTGGTGCAGTAACTAAAAAATGTTTAATATAAACATTATTTAACATCTATAGTACTCACTGAATGACAAACTCAGAATCTACATTTGCTTAGCATGTCAGAAGAAACATCATTTGACTTTATAAATCGTAATATAAATCATTGAAAATCCAACTGCCTGAACTGTATTACTTAATTTATTAATAGCATGTTTAGAATGTGGAATGCAAAATACCAGTTCCAATCCTTCCATTTCAAACTTGACTCTGAACTTTAGATTGCAAATCTCTGCAGATTATAATGTTACAGACCAGTTAAAGATTAAACATTACCTGAAACCAGAAGTGCTCGGAATTAAGAGCAACATCAATTCTCTTTGCAGTGACACCTGCTTCAATTAGCGTCATGAGACAGTGTCTTCTCTGCCAAGCTTGGTAAACACACTTAAAAGCTGCTTCTGTATTAGCTTATTTGTTGTCTCTTTTCGTACATTTTATGTTTTTTCTTTAAGGCGCATTAAGGGGCAGAGGTTTACAGGTTTGAAAAAAAATCTACTGTTTTTATTTGTTTAAAAAATGTCTCTCCCTCACATTTAAACAGCTCCCAATCTAAATTATTCTCAATCAATTTCCTTCTAATAACTCCCTAAATATGGCACAAATATATCATTCACACCCTATGTTTAATCAAACAGAAGAAAAAAATAAAATTCAAATTTACAGAGTTTTCTAAAGGCGTGTCAAACTTGGGGTCTGCACTGTTGCAAGGCAGAACTCGAATGTGAATCCATTAAATGCCACAGTTTGTACATTGTGCAACTGCAGTTTTGAAATTAAGTACAAACCAAACTGTGTCCTTTAAAGGCTAAATTATAGTATACAGTGCAATTCCAACACCTAAGTAGAAATAATAACACCCCTCCCAATGGATATGCATCTTAAGAACAAGAAATAGAACAGATCGTTTTTTGCAGAAAAAGACAGATACAGTGGGTGGGGTATGGATCCCATTGTAAGACTGAATTTCACACAAAAATAAAAAAAGTACTGGCATCATTGCAGGTATTCCAGAAACAAGATGAGGAGAACAAGAGTGTGAGGGCTGTAGCTTCCTCACTTTATAATACATCACATACAATACGCTACAGCACATTCATTAGTGGTGCAATACCTAACCACTCTCCTACCTGTTGCACTGATAAAACAGTAGAGCGCAAACATCCCCGCACACTTTTCTACTATTAATGGTGAACGCAAAGTAAAAAGTAAAGACGTCTGGTAATGAAATGTGCGCTGCTATGACACCTGACACATGACAATGTCATGTCAAGGGAAGATGTCTGCATTCGGGAGACAGAGCACACTGTACCCTCGGCGCCCTGTGACAGACGACACATTTAGGTGAAAGGTCTGTTTACTTCCATAAGCCATGATGTTTAGAGAGCAAAGTACTCAGAATGCACGAGGGGAGAGCTTGTTTAATTTCTGACCCCAATGCTTTACCAGCATGACACACTTTACATTCATTTCCAACAGCGACATCCTCACGACAATGACTATGAAATTCACATACCATTCTAAAACTACTGTTTGTTTTGATGAAGATTTATTTTGTTGAGTGTGGTTTTTTGTTGTTTCGTGTGATGATTCCAAAGACAAATGTCCACCCTTTTGGATGGACAATAAAAGCTAGATCTTCTCATTTTATTGCCAGTGGTAATCTAATCTTGGGGAAGAATAAAGCTTCTAACAGGGACAAACCAAAACATCTAAAAACAGCTGATATTAATAATAAAATTGAAAAAACAGAGTCCCCAACCCAAATTCTATTGCTACAAACTTTAAACTATAGCCAAAAAGCAAAGAATTAAGAGGAATTATTGAGATAACTACGTTTTTTTTCATGGTGTAAAAAATTGTTATGCATTAACAGATAATAGGTATGTGTGAACATTCTTAATTGGTTCCTTTTAACAAGGCAGAACTCACAATCAGTTAAACAAAAGTAAAAAGGACACTATAAAAGTAAATTAAAAATTATTTCTAACCCACATTAATGTTTTAAAATATTTGTGAATATTACTGTGGATTGGCTACAAGACTGAATAAAAACTTTCAAGAGTTAGATTTACTTTTATTGCTCTTATTACTCCTATGTATGAGAAAATCCATAAACTGCTTACACCTTGACCCAGGAAAAGGTCATTAACAAGCATTATAGTACTGGTTGGCTGTGTTTCCAAAAGAATCCATGTTAAGGTGTGTAAATTTAAAGATACAGCATACCCCACTGCTTCCGGACATAGCTGTGACTTTTCCACTGAATCTTAACTATAAATTCAATATTAAATTAAATTTAACTGAAAAAAATATATTTTGTCTGGGTTTAAAACATTATGCAGAAGATAATCCTATTTGAGCACTATCATATCAGCAGGAATCCTTACTTCTCCAAATGTGCATGAATCACTATCACTAAACCTTACAAACCTGTATAAACATGCATGCATGTATATCTGTAAAAATATCAATGGAAAATAAGTGTAGTTTAATAAACTTAATGATTAACTAAATTGGCAAATAGCATCATTTCAAATTGGCAAATAGAGCCAATTAGAAGTGGTAATTGTCCCTGTAATACGCCGTACAGTATCCCACTGGCTAGCAAATTCAGTGAAAGAAGAGACCATTTTCTTTCATATGAGCAAACGTCTCTGTATTTAAAAACATAACATTGAGAATTTTAAAAGTGTCCTGATTTATGTGACATTATTCCTTGCAGGCAAACTTCATTTTTCAAGATCAAGGCTCAGCACCAGCATTTTATAAAGTAAAAAAGATATGAAAGCAAACAAATCCCACAGGAGAAGGTTCACTGAAAATGATCTCAGCAGTGCAAAACAGCTTATAAGAATTGGGGACCAAGCAGGATTATTTCTCTTTGTATTAGGTAATTGTGTTACTTAAAATAAATTCTCAGCACAACAGCAAATCTACCATTTACAACAGGAGGTCATATTACAGCTGTTTCATGTCCTCTTCTCCTATATTACTGAAATAAAAACACAATGACCAATGAGTTAGACGCCTCCAAAATACAGGCACCACTTTGTTCTATTAAAAGTCTCTACTCTGAAAAAGTATTGTCCCAGCCACTCAGAGCCCCAACCTGCATTCACACAATGGAAAGTAGGAAGAACTGGAATGCAGATAATCAGGCTCTGCTAGCAGTCTGCTGTGGACAGAGCAAAGATCATAATTATAAATGGCATTATTACAGTGACTGTGTTCTAGTGTTTGGATTGTCGTGCAAAATACAAACGGTAATTTAGGGAAAGTGAAAACTTTGTTTCATGTATGGATAGGAAAAACAATCAAAGCAGTTGTTTTGCGGGTTTATACACTGCTTGAATTCATTATTCTGTCAACTGTAAACTGAAAAACCTGCTACATTTGTAAGCAGCCTATAGATGCCGTGTTAGATTAATACATTTGATTTTTGCTTTTAGATCAATATTGCATATAATTATCCCTTACCTGGCTTCTTACTATCTTTAAGCTTCATAGTGATGCTCAGGCGCACGCAAAGAAACTATAAGACTCCAATCCAAGAAAACAAATGTCTGTTTTAGAAACAAATAATTGCAGACAACCCGTTTAGATGCTGATATTATTGTCACGGCAATAAAATGCAATTTACTTGCATATGCATTGTGGTTGCTAGAAAGTTTCTATTGGGTGAAAAAGCCCCGAGAAAGGAAGGTTTGCTGTTTTGGGGGATGGGCCTTGCCTGACCCTGTGGCCCCGCCTCGCATAGCCCAAGGCAGAAAGCTCGTTGGCTGAGCAGGCCGGGCCTTCTTATCAGGAGCGATTTCCACACACCTTCTGACTGCCATTCGACCAATCGCAAAGGTTTCACACTTCGACAGACAGAGAAGGAGGGAGTACTTTTTTTGTGCTGTACGTTGTTAAAATATTGCTTCACTTCAAAGCACTGACCTCAGGAGTATCTTGTGTCCTCTGTGAGTGTATGAATGAATCTGGGTGATTTAGTGCTTTCAGTTCACCGTTTCATGAAAAGCGGAAAAAAAACAGCTAAACCAAATCAAGTATCGTATTCCTCGAAATACCACACAAAACGTCTTTGTGCTTAGCTACGGCAGAATTTTACTATCACTCAAAAAAGGCACAGTTCGCTGCTAGTGTTCTTGCACGAAGGCTTTTTGTGTGTGTAGACTGTACGTGTAAAATAGTTTTGAGAAATGTTTATTTGTTTATTTAAATGTTTATTTACATTTTGTAGAAACAGCGCTTAGGGCTACTGGCTTCATTTACATTTAAAACATGCACACCTTCAGTGTCTTTTTGGTCTCTGTAGTAACAGTGTATTACATATGCATTACAAATACTGCAAATATGTGAAAGCTTGACGGCAATGGCAATTTCTCTTAATCATTTTTATTATATTGAAAATAAAATAAGTCACATATAGCGCCCCTTTCGTTAGTGTATTTCGAAGGTACATTAATAATGGCACCTGCGCGCCCACAGGCAATTCGGGATTATAATTAGAGCTATATCGATTAAATACTCACGCGGTCTGTTCTTCTTTCCCGAATCCATCCTCCTCCGAAGTCGACACTTTTTCGCCGGGGATCCATTATTGTGTAGGTCCTGGTGAAGATGGTGGAAACTGTCGATGCCACTATGGCCACCGCTGCTGCTACTACTAGCGCTGGCAATGATTGAGCTGCAGCTCCCGTTGCTTAGCTGCGCTGGGCAAAATCCGTTTTGCAATCCATTCGCATAAGAAGGACCTGCTCCGTTTTGCTCCGCGGTGGTGTCCATAATTACACGCGGGGCAGAGAACAGGCACACAGGCAAAGGTGAAGCAAAGAAGAAAGGAAAAAAAGCAGCTCTTTCACGGTTTAACTTCACAGTGATTTTATGGAGGATTGAGAGAGATGGTGGAGTGTGATGGACGTTCAGTTCCAGGTGAAGGCTACGTGTTTGTTTGCACTTTAAAAAGGTGGAAAATGCATCAAACCGCAACCACACACGGTTCTGTGGAGGTCACTGTCGGTCATTTTCCTCCTTCATGCTCCGCTCCTGCACCAGCTTCCGACTGAAACAGCCGGCACGCTACGTCATCGTCTGAGCCTCCCCACCCCCTTCGACTCCCCTGGGGCACCACGCGAGAGCGGCGCCATGCCACCTTCTCTGACTCACTAACACGCGTGGCTAACGAGGAAAGAAGAATACAAGAAAACTAATAATCTCGACACATTCACGATTTTAGTCTGTGGTCTTTGTTTCTTGTAACGAAACCATGTGGGATAGCAATGTGTTTTTTTTAACCGTACTAGATCTCTGTATGTTAAAATATGGTATGTTTAACACCATCGATTTACAAAAAACCCACAAGAAAACGCGGATCCTTAAGCTATTATCACCTTTAAATTAAGATAGGAATCCATTTCAAAAGTGCATTATTAACGTTTTAATTGTTCTAATTAAAAGAGTTGCAGAAGCACAAAAATAGGAAATTAATAAAAGCAGGTTGCATGAAACACATCTGCAACTAAGAAACCGACCAAATTGTTTCAACAACAGCAAGGAAAATTGATATGCGTCTGCATCTACTATCAACCGTTGTCATTATTTGTTCTTACATAACTGTCTCTTTCTGATTAGTGTTGTGGTGGCCTTGCTAAACATTTTTTAATGATAAGGTCTCCACAAATGTGTACAATTTTAAGTACTCTGCTGTGGAATGGGACCTGTATATAATGTGCTACCTTCATGTAATCTCGATTGTAATTTCTCTTTAATCTTCTAGTGTCCCTGTATACTGTACCATTGTAACATGGGACTTTCCACAGTGACCACTATAAAAAATATGATCTGTTGAATACTGGTGTGATTTTAAACCTATTTGAGAACTTCAATTAAAACATGGCTCAATACGCTCAACTAACAAGATGCATGACTAGTCAATGAGATCTATTAGAATGACACAATGAGGAATGGCATTTTGGAAATGTGACAGTGCATTGAATTTGTAAGACAAATAGCAAAGAACCAAAGAGTGAAAAAACATTCAAACTGGTATCTTAAAAGAGGAAACCATCTGGATTAAATTGTGGTCAGAAATGAATGTATAATACAAATGTGTAATCTGTAAATTAATTCCCTAATTAGGGTTAGGGTTAATGTTTGTGGTTAAGAGATAAGATAAGATTACTTTATTAGCCATATACAATTTCTTGTATTAGGAATTAGTCATTTCTCATACCTCAGCTTGCTCTCAAGGAGAGAGACAGACAGGGAGAGAAACTTGGGGTCAGAGCAAAGGGTGAGCTGTTTATATGGCACCCCTGGAGCAGTTGGGGTTAAGGGCCTTGCTTAGGGGCCCTAACAAAGTAGGATTCATCTGCCGGCCATGGGATATGAACTGGCAATCTTCCAGCCACAGGCACAGAGCCAGCCACTTCACTCCACATCCCAGTTAGTGCTCCCAGGTAGTGAGAAACAAGTAGCATGTTTCTCCTCATGTCCTAATTTTTGCTTTCTTGCTTGTTAATTGAAGCACAGTCCATGTATTGAAAGCCAAAAAACATGAGAAAAGGTGTGTACAAGAGTTATATAGAGTGAAGTCGGTAATTATTGTGATTTAAAACAGTTGGGTGAGATTGGCTTGTCTGTCATTATCCATCCCAGACTCTTTCATTCTATCTTGTTTTGTTTCTCTGGTTGTTGTTTTAGGCACAGTCTATAGAGTATAGAATGAACATGATAAAAAAAGTGACGAGAATGTGGGAGAAGAATGAAAAACAAGTAGCGTATTTCTCTTTATCTGTCTTATTTTTGCTTTCCTGCTTGTTAATTGGAGCACATTCCATGTATTGAAAACCACAAAATATGAGAAGAGTTGTGTGCAAGAGTTATAGAGTATAAAGTAAAGTCAGTAATGATTGTGATTTAAAACAGTTGCTTGAGACTGGTTTGGCAGTCGTTATCCAGCCCAGACTTCAGTTGAGAACTTCACTTAGTTAAGGGTCAATTCAATATTTGTTTTCTTGAGAAAAAAAAAGTAATCTAGCATCCTGTGTTGTGTATATTCAATTAGAAAAATATAACTTATTTAAAAAAGGGAGAGCAGAGCCATTGAAAGATAAATGTCAAACTAAATATACAGTACAGCCCGTACAAATGTACCCTCATTGATGTTAAATTCACCTTTACCTCAAATTGCTTATAACTCTTTCAGTGGGAAGTCCAATACAGTGAAAACACTATTGGCAGTATATGCTGAAGACATTTTGATATTCAGACCAGACACAGTTCAATCTCTGTGATTATTGTAATAAGTTTTTATTACTGTATGTCCTTTTACAATATTTCATAATCAATATTTAAGATCATTACATTTGCTTAAGATTTGCTCCCCCTACAGTCTGTTTCTTGAGCAACGTAAGTACAGTATATATTCTTTCAAAACATTGATTAGCTCTACAACGGTGAGAAATAAGGCACTAGAAATCAACATTAAAGGTTGTCATGAATAGCTGGCTCTAAAATTTGTTTTACAAGAACACTGTTAACTTGACATTTATGCCAGATGATAACGGGTAACAGGGTATTAATGTATTTTGAAGATTTTGCCTTGCTGATTAACATAAAATAAACATGGCAACAGTGGACTGCATTATAATAACTACAATAAAGCAGATAAAGCCTGACTAAACTTTTAAAAAAATGATCTCAAAATGAAATATTTTGACTTCCACAAAAACTGAGTAGAAGCTACAATATAACAGTTCTTTTCTCTCACATTGATTTGCAAGTATAAATTTGAATGAACAAAATTTCTCACATCACGCCTTTTGATCTTCTTATCTGGTTACACCTGTTTAGAAAAGATTATGTTGAACGCAATGTTCTTATGCCATCAAATTTCTTAATACAGCAACAACATCCATCACTCACAGCTGCTTCATCTGCAGGAGGGAAAGCTGGAGCCTAACTCAGCAGACGTGAGGTAGAGAATGTGATTCTGCTTAGCAAGGGCCAGTAGTCTACTGCAGGAACGCACACATTGAAACAATTTAGAGACAGCAATTCACCTAGCTGTCATGTCATTCGGAAGGTGGGAGGAAAACTCAAGCAAAGCTGATGGGAGAACTTTCAAAGTCCACACAGAGGACACCCTAGACTGGCGTCCAACCCAGACTGAAGACGTGAGGCAGCTGTATTAAATGTCACGCCATGGCACTGCCTTGCACTACCAAGTTAAATACTACTGGGACCCTTTATTAATTGTACCTCTATGCAGTCAACTGTTACTTCTGCAAAACTACAATATTCCCAGTTCTTGAGGTTAGAGTGCAGTAAAAAAAAACCTTTGTAAAATCCAGTTCTCTCATACTAGTGTTTCAACCAATAGAATCAATTAAGACTTGCATTTCTTGAAATAATATGAAAATAATGAAATATGAAATATTACAACAGCTGGAACATACAGATATTTACAGCTAAAGGACTAAAGATATGTTACCGACTAAAAAATGTCTGTCACACATCTTTATTTCTGTATATTTGTCCCCACAATGTCACCAAGGTAATTCAGATCCATCCCAGGAATAGGCCTTTCCAGTTTTCTCCCAAGTGAGGTTGTCTATGATATTCATGAGGCACTGGACCGAATGGTCTGGGGAAAAGAGTCTGTCCTTGGGCACATTCTTGTGGTAAGGCCTTGAGAGATCCGTGTTGACGGTTCCAGGGTGTAAGCAGACACACACGACCTTCGGCCTTCCTCGGCCTAGCTCGATGGAAAGATTCTTTGTAGCCATGTTCAAGGCAGATTTGGACATCCTGTAACTATACCACCCTCCTAAGCCTATGAACCAAAAGACATAAGGTTAGCAATTGGGTGAAGTACCTTTTCTTAAAATTCCTCCAATACAGATACTACAAAACCTTTCACCTAATCAGTTGAATAAAAAGTTCGAAGAAAAGAACTACACGGTCATTTTACCATTTTCTGAGCCACATTCAGTGCAGCTTGTGAAATCAGTTTAAACTTTTATTTAACAGCACTAATTTGTTCAAGGTCAGCAAGAGTGGGGAATGGGACTGTGAGTGAATGTAAATGTCAAGAACTGTGGTGTGCCTGAGGTAGGGCTATTACTGAAGAACACACAGACAGCTGGTCCATTCCTGAACCGGCAGCCAGAGCCCTATTCCAGTTTTCCATACCATTGTCGCCAATGGATCCAACTTTCGCCGTCATGTTCACCAGGATAGCACTGTGATGCTTGGATGAATCCTTTGGCTGGTGGCCAAACCCTCCATTCCCTTTCAGCAGCAAAGGGCTGAAATGCTTTGCCATCACCAGGGGCCCCACCGTGTTTGTAGTCAGAGTGGCAACCAGACCCTTCAACACAGGGAGGGGAAAATGATTGGTGTGATAAATCAGTTATCAGCCTTTGGCATATACTGTAACAGATTAACCTCATGGGTGTCTAATACATTAATGATTTATTGAAGTCAAGGGTGTGCCAGACATTTAGAAAGGATAACTTAGAAACTGCACAGTATAGTTAGTAATGACACTTTTCAAGCCTGTTGGATCCACCAGTAACCGGTAAGTGAATGAAACGTGGGGTTTGATGGTATCCCTCTATAATCCCAACTTCTTCAACACGTTTGAGCGATGCCTAGCATTTGTGTCTGATAGACCTCGATCGGTGAGATGTGTATTGGTCAAAAACCCTGCAGCTAACTTTTTGAAAGCACCGCCTTTACGAAAAAAACGTATGCTATTAAAGATCTGTCGTACCTGAGAAGAGACGTCCCTGAGGCTTGTTTCGCCTTTTCCAGACGGATGCAGCATCGCTGAAGAGTTAACGAGAAGGTCCAGTTTTCCAAATTCGCTTTTAACTATTTCCGCAGCGTCTTGTATGTCTTTTTCTCGCGTCACGTCTACCTTCAGCACTTTAATTTTTCCAGGATACTGCCCTGTTAAATCCCTCAAGCCGGCCGCAGCCTCTGGGTTTCTGCATGTCGCGACCACCAACGCTGGACTTTTTTTCGCCAAAATATATCTGCAAAACTCTAGCCCGATTCCTCTGCTCGCGCCCTGGATTAAAGCCACTGAAGCCATTACGGCTGCCGCCTAGTCATGTAAAACCCACCACGTGAACCTTTAACTGTACTGCCATCTGTAGGTTGAGAGGCAAGGTTACTTATACAATACTGTATGGTTACGTTTCGTAACAAGATCATGGTGGCATCACGTGCGTAGGTTTATTTAAAATGTTCGCTCAAATAATTCGAACTGAGGTTTTCCTTAAAGTAACAGCGGATGAAATGAAATAGTTCGCAGTGTATATCGCGAGTGGCTCCAAGATAGGGCAAATAAGCTAATAACTAAAAAATCGCCATCAATCAGGATGGACAGAGAAAAAAGGCAGATTGCGGAAAAGATCCTAAAACTTTTAAATAGGAGCATCTAACCCCCCCGTCTATCTGCAAGCTCATTGTTCTTAGAACCACGCCAAAGCCTCTGTGTGCTGTCTTTTCAGCCCCTATTACTTTGAAATGCTGATGTGATTAGTATAATGATAATACTGTGGCATTTGCACGGATAGACCAGGCTGGTTGCGTACGCCAGAGATTTCCACACTGGGCTGTGGAGGAACACTGTGTCTCCTGGATTTTGCTCCAGTCGACTTCTTGCGCACAGGCTAATTGACTTCATATTCCTACAATATATGGGGCCTATTTGTATATTTGTTTTCAGTTCTTCAAACATCAAACGGGATTCGTAACTATTTTCTATTAATCCTGTTCCGGTTTCTGGTGCTCAGAACTGCCCTCATTGATATTTGTTGCCAGAAATTCAACCAATATGACCTCTGCAGAAGGAAAAGCCCATCACTCTGGGCGTGTCTGATACAGTGTCATTCCCACCTGTCTCTGTTAATCATTAATTGATCAACTATTAAGAGCTGTTTAGTTAGAAATAACGGCAAGCAAATCGAGGAGAGCCTGCGTAATGTTCTATATGCTGACGTTGTTGGAAACAGTGGCCTTGAAATAGTGTCAGAAATTTGTTTACATTCAAAACAATAAAAAAACAAGTTAACAGTTCAAACAAGTAAGAAGACAAATTAAGTGTTCAGTTATAGCCATACAGCCAGCAGCTATATCAGGGTGCAACTCACAGCTGGCAACCCACTGAAGCTAAGCAGGTGGGCCTGGCCAGTACCTGGATGGGAGACCTCCTGGGAAAAACTAAGGTTGCTGCTGGAAGAGGTGTAAGTGGGGGGAGCTCACCCTGCGGTCTGTGTGATACTAATGCCCTGTTATAATGATGGGGACACTACAATGTAAAAAGGCACCATTCCTTGGATGAGATGTAAATCTGAAGTACTGACTCTCTCTTTTCATTAAAAAATCCCAGGGCGTTTCTGGAAAAGAGTAAATGTGTTACCCCATTGTCCTGGCCAAATTTCCCATTAGCCTTTCTCAAGCATGGCCTCCAATAATCCCCATCTGTGAACTGGCTACATCACTCTGTTCTCCTCCCCACCGATAGCTGATGTGTAGTGAGTGTACTATGGCTGCCATCCCAGCATCACAGTGGTTGCTCCACATTGGTAGTGGTGGAGTCGAGTCCCCATTACCTTTAAAGCACTTTGAGTGAAGTGTCCAGAAAAGCACTATATAAGTTTAAAATATAGTGAATATTGTATATAAAATACACCAGAAATATAAAACTCGGCTGCAATGAAAACCAGTAACCCCTCCAGCACTGCCCGAGGACTGGGGCTATGAAACCACTGATCTAACCCTTCCTGTAATGCAGTAAAGAAGAAATCGATTTTTCAATATTTATACATCTAAAGGTACAGCTGCTGTCTATCATGTTTAGCTGCACAAATCTTCGAGCTGTTTTGCAAAATTTCATTATAGATTGAAATATTTCACTGCATTTCGAAACAGAAATTCAACTAAAAATGCGAATAAAGATCTAAAGTAATTCATACGTTACCTGAAAATAACAGCAAGTCCTATCATAACCTACAAAAATGTTTTAAAAAACATACAAATGACGTCTTCAAATGGGTTGTATACGGGACAATTGGGACTATTCTCCAATGGGTCTCCAAGTTGATAAAATCTCCTTTATGTAGCTGGTGAACATCATGTTCAGCAGATGGCACCAAAGTATCACAAAGTGAACCAGATTAACGATCTGGGTTTGTTTCTTACCGCACGCTTAAAGATCAGAGCACGGTATGAAATCGTTTACAATAATGAAATGTTTATGATTAAATTATACACTTGCCAAACGTTTCACTCTCGTTTCATTGTTGACTGTATCACATTTTGATAAAAAAACACCTTTTAAAATCGGAACTCAATTTTCTCTGAAAAATAGCGTTCTAATGAGAAAAACAAACGTATATGTGGAAATGTAACAGTGAGGGAGGGGGTAGACTGAAATGAATACAGCACTGCGGTTAGTTTAGTGTTTCCTTTATTTATTCTTATTTTAAGGATTCATAGTTTCGCATTCATACATGATTTTACGCGTGACATTTGTCAGTGGTTTTTAATCTGAAAACTGATTTGGTGTTATAGTGTTTCTTCGTGATGTAGAGGGATTTCCACTTATGTTACCTGTACCGGTGTCATCCTCCGGAGAGTCACGTTGAGCCGGAGCCCAACCCTGTAGACACTGGGCCCTAGGGTCGGACTGCCCCAGAACACACGCACCCAAAGAGACACCAGATAACTTAGGCAGCGTATCTGTGGAAGGTGGCACCCGGAGGAAAACCTACATCAACATCAAGGAAGAACATGGAACCTCCACACAGAAGGACCAAGAGTCCGAAATTAAGCTCAGGACTCAAGAGCAGGGAGGCAGCATTGCGGTGTACTGCAATGTTCCAGAATTTACTTTATACTCTCTATTTTTTTGTGTCCATCATCTTGTAAAACTGTAAATATTACAATTGAACCAAGATTAAGACACTCCTGATTATTGTGAAATTAGCATAGCCATGAAACCAGGATTGTATTTTTTGGCACTGATTTTATAATTGGTCTGGTTTACTATACAGACTTGGGCCGAAATCTAGCCTACACACTGCATCCTGTACATATTTTGTAAACCCGACTTAATTCGATCTAAAGGAAATCAACAAAGGAAGGTCAGTGTGTATTTTTAAGTCATCCTTGCTCATTAATGTGACGGCATAAGTGGAGGTGTAGTCAGAAAAAAAAAAACATGCTAACTGCGGGAAAAGTTTAAGAGTATACGGACAATCACACGTTTTGTCGCACGTCTATTTTGATGAACTTCTTGTGCTTCACTTCCAGCCTGGCGGTTCCTCTGATTATTAGCATGACGTCATTTTCTGCCTTAAAGGAAAGAGCGACCCCGCCAGTAAATGACAGCTCCCCGAGTTTTAAGGAGCAGTCATTTTGGCGATCTCCGGATTGAAGAGCTTGTACAAACTCAGAGAACTGCAACTGCCTTTCTCCAGCTCCGGAGTGAATTGCTTTGGTTTTTATCTGGCTCCTGAGGATTGTTCAAGCAGCGCAATGTCCTCCACATCACTTGCTCGTCTTGTTAAATGTTGTTCATTAGTCCGGCTGAGGAGCGACAACCCCGCCAATGCTGAACAAGTGGACCAGCTGCACACCAGTAGGTTCTGCGGGCAGCACTAGCCTGGCTTCATGGACAGCGGTGGCCACTATGGTTATGGACATCAACACTAGTTTTATTTACGCTAATATCAGATCCTACGTGATTGAAGAGACACCACGGGTCCTCAGCACCACCAGAATGATTTCTGAGGAACTGAATTCACATCTGCAAAAGGTTGTACAGAAAGCAACACCCACCCCAGCACCAACTTCCAGTCTCTCCACAGAGAACGGCACACAATGCGGGGAACAGATTCTCAACTACGGCAACGTCGAGAAAGTGGTTATTGGCGGAATCCTTACCATGCTAACTCTGCTTACCATTTCTGGGAACTTGCTGGTGGTCATATCCGTGTGTTTTGTGAAAAAGCTGAGACAACCCTCAAATTACTTAATAGTTTCTCTGGCGCTGGCGGACCTGTCGGTGGCTCTGGCTGTGATGCCCTTTGTCAGTGTCACTGACCTTATCGGAGGGCAGTGGATTTTTGGACAGGTCTTCTGTAACGTCTTCATTGCGATGGATGTGATGTGTTGCACGGCTTCCATCATGACGCTGTGTGTGATTAGCATAGACAGGTAAGTCGATAAGGGTAGCAAATAGACTCAAGTTCTATCAAGCAATTAAACGCCTTTGTCCTTTATACACCCTTTACTACTGTATTACGCTATCTATAGTGTACCAACCGACTCTTTATTTGCTCTTTAGCAAGCTTCTTTTGCATTCTGACCCTGGTCTAGGCACACCTTTGCTTGTTAACACTGCGCATTTTTAACCGAGTTTAACAATTATCTGTGCATGTCAAATTCAGCGTCCAAAGTCGAAAGTTTTATATAATCTGAACTGGCACACCGTTTTTGCAATACGGAGAAAGAGGTATATATTGGATGATTACTATAGATGAAGGTAATTTAATGGTACCGTATATCATCCATACTAAATTGTTACAAATGTGGTAGTTCACTGCTGTGTTTCGTGTACCTTGTTTCTCCCTGTGTTTGATTTATAATTAAAACGGGAAAATACCACTAAAAAGCTACTAAAAAGTTATTTTTCCACCTACTCAGATTAGAAGAAAGATTTGATAAAAAATATTAATTGACAATAGCCGTAAATCGTCTGCAAGCACTCACAAACCGAAGGGATAAATTATCACGGTTTCAAAAACGAATTATGGAAATCTTCACCTGTTAATACAGAAAACTCTCGGTTTAATTCTTCGTTTTGATGTACTTTGGATTAAACGGACAAAATCTGCTATTTTGTAACAGTTAATTTTTACAATTTGAAAAAAAAACGGACTTTATTCGCAATAGCGATAAAATGTACAATAAAATAAAATAAAACGCTAAACATGTTTGAAATTCAGGAATATCAATGGTCTCCTATGGTGATAAGTAAATTGCTTACAATGGGTGTATTGCATGTGCTTTAGCCAATTGTATAATATATACATACGATACGTAGAATAAAAAGTTTCCATATAAATGAAAAAAAGCACAGGAACAATATCCATCGACTGCGTTGATTGCAGTTGTTAAGAAGTAACTCAAGAGATCCAGCATCCATTTTTATTGACATTTTCTCATATAACAGTGTTTTATGGGGTGAAAAACACTATTATATTTGTTCATCACCTTTTCAGACTAAATAGTACAACTGCACCAAAATTAAGACACTCCTGATCACTGTAAAATTAACATATAGTAGCTATCTATGAACCTTTCGTCATTCGTGATATTCAGCCATAACAGACACCACTTTCTCCCTTCTAGTCCAAGAGTTTCCTGTTATCTACTGCTACAACAGTGTCTTATCTATAATGGCAGTCTTTTGATATATGTTAGTAGAGTAATTGTAATATGGAGATAGCATCTTAACCCTGTAGTAGGTAGTGTTGAATTAAAAATCAGAATTCTACAGAACGGTTTCATACAAAAGAAAGACATACATATTGTAGAAAAGCAGCAGAGGGCTTCTGTGGTCAAACTTTTTATTGGGGAGCTGTCCATGGTTCAGTTATAATGTTCACCAGTGTTATTCAGATTACTCAGGTTGGTTTATGTAATCAGTAGAATGAGACTAATAATGTCTTAATCACATTCTGCAGACATACTTTTAAATAAGGTGTATGAAGGCATATCTGCTCTTTCTTATCTCTTGGACTTGAAAAGCCTTCTAGTGACAGAAGAGAAAGGAGCTCAGTTGTCTTCTTTTAGATAGTCAAATAAGGTTCTTTTTGATAAATTGTTTTAGACATTTAATGTAGGCAAGAATCTTAGGGGAAACCACGGGTCTGTGTGCAACCTGGATAAATTAAGAAATTTAGATGTTTGTAACGCAATTAATTTCCTTCTACAAACAAAATTTCCTATAGAACAGAAGTTATCTGCTCTTTTTTGAGCACCTGTCAGGGACTCTTGCTGGATATGTGATCAAAAGGTATATCAGAACTCCACCCAAGGCCAGCAGGCGACTAGATCATTTTACAGAGAGCCAATTAGGATGATGCTGAAGTGGAGAATCTAAAAAAAGCTGAAGAAAATGTTATTTGGATTTTTAATTTTTTGTGTGTGCTGAAATTACTTTTCAGGTATCTCGGGATAACCAGACCCCTGACCTACCCTGTTAGACAAAACGGAAGGTGTATGGCCAAGATGATCCTGTCCGTGTGGCTCCTGTCTGCCTCCATCACCCTGCCGCCTTTGTTCGGCTGGGCTCAGAACGTCAACGACAACAAGGTGTGCCTGATCAGCCAGGACTTCGGCTACACCATCTACTCCACCGCGGTGGCGTTCTACATCCCCATGTCGGTCATGCTGATGATGTACTACCGCATATACAGAGCTGCCAAGCGGAGCGCGGCCAAGCACACGTTTACCGGCTTCCCGCGGGCCGAGGAGAACGACGCCATAGACTGCGTCTCCGGCGCCCTAAAGCTGCACCGGGAGGCCGAGGAGTGCACCAATTTTTCCCGCCTCCTGAGGAGCGACAGGAAGAACATGTCCATTTTCAAGAGGGAGCAGAAAGCCGCCACCACTCTGGGAATTATCGTCGGGGCGTTCACCGTGTGCTGGCTGCCCTTCTTCCTGCTCTCCACCGCGCGGCCCTTCATCTGCGGCATCGAGTGCAGCTGCATCCCCCTGTGGGTGGAGAGGACGTTCCTGTGGCTGGGCTACGCCAACTCGCTCATCAACCCCTTCATCTACGCCTTCTTCAACAGGGACCTGAGGACCACATACCGGAACCTGCTGCAGTGCCGATACAGAAACATCAACCGCAAGCTCTCGGCGGCAGGCATGCACGAGGCTCTGAAGCTGGCCGAGAGACCGGGCCTCGTCCTCTAGGTTGAGCTTCTGCCGTCTTTCTTCCTGCTGTCCTCTCTTGACTCCAGAGGCACTTTTCTGTTGCCTGACTGCGAGTGCCAGATCTCACCAGGCTTTTGTTGGTGTGTGTGTGTTGGGTTTAGTTCCCACCAGTTAAAAGTCCTGACAAGATATAAAACAAGCAGTCCCGCAAGAAGTTAAAATGTCACTTTCAGACTTTTTTTTTCTCGAAAGTTAAATACATTTAATTTATAACAGAACAAGATGGAAGCAGAGCAGGAAGAATCAGGAAGAAGGCAGACTCACATTTAATGAATGATTCCATTTATGGGTTACTTTATACCAATGGCAGCCAAGTCTCTTCAAATCCATTTGATGTTTCATGGTGTTAGCAGCTTCCTTTGCCGAGTTCGGTGGCATTAGTGGTAGCGGAGAGTTATAGTAATCACATTCCGTCTGTTCCAGATATTTCACTCTGAGAATAATTAAGTTCACATAGTGCTATAGAGTTTTTGGTTTTAGTTTAACAATAGCACCATAAGCAAGCAAGAATAAAAAATGATATATTTATTTTCTTTCTTTTCTCAGTGGCATATTATGAAGTTTACTTAACATACAGTATTGTCTCACAATAGAAGTAGGGATGTACAATCAATATTGTCACTAAGATTTGTTTAAAAGTAATGATAAACAAGTGATGATCACTCCTGTGCCTGGTAGTGTCAAATAATATTCACAGTGTACTGTGATGTTCTTAACTCAGGGATCATAAAATACAAACAATATCAACATACATGCACACAGACACAACAGACAAACCTAATGACATTTTTTAAAATATGTATGCATATGTAAATATTGCCAACTGCTTTAAGATTTTATACATTTTTATTTTCACAAGCTTGTACAGTAATTGCATAGTGAGAATAACTGTAAAATATGGGATATTTAAAATACACAACCTGAAAGTGGTCACATGGTATTCTATAAAGATTACATTTAGATAACAGCAAGGAGAAAGAGAACAGGTGCTTTTCTGATTATATTTTAATTTAAATACTATGTGTAAATGTGAAGTATTTATATTTACAATTTCCCAACTATCCAAATTTCCACTGGCTGTATTATCCTTGTTTTTGATTTACAGTATTTATGTTGAGTAAAATTATTTATTGTCTTATTTATCTTTTATCAGTTGCTATACAATAATATTTAAATGTTTTACTGAAGCTTGTCAGGCCATATGATGAAGTGCTGAAATGGAGAAGTTGTGCCTGGAGATATTATTAGCAAAAACAGCATTTTGCCATGAGCATATGTACTGTAAGAGTGATTAAGTGGCTAACTGAAAAATATATAGTTATCAGTAAGACCTCATATGTGATCATGATCACAAATTAAAGAAATAAATATACATTTAATTGCATTCCACATTAAACTGTATTTTTTTTACTTTGTTGCATTCTTTTACTTTGTTTTATTTAATTGGTTTGTTTGTTCCAAATTGTAGTAAAACAAATACATATATAATCATCTGTGATATTTACAAATTTAATGAAACTTATATGTATATGTTCACCTGTAATAGAGTGGAATTGTTCTTCATGAAGTTAAAGGCTTTTAGAAGTAATTCATTATAAAAAGTTCTGGATTTATGTGTGTGTGAATTTAGAGAACAATGATTACATGTGGATACATGTGCTTTTTATAAAAGGTATGAGCAACTGTGATGTAAAATACATTGATAGCAATGTTAACATAAGGCAAATAAATAGCAAAAAATTAAATTAGTAATGCCAAGCTTAATTTTTAGAGTTCCTCTTAAATCTGTATTTATATTAATTTTTGGATTAACAAACCTCACCTAATTATTCTTTTTCCTCAAACCAGTTTCCTTTTACCCATGCTTTTTCCATCCCTCTGTTTTTGGTTACTCTGTATTAAGCTAACATAATAAAGGTTTTTAATGAGAAGGGGCATCTAGATTTTTTAATTACCAGTAGTTTATATACCCAAGCCTGTCCTTAAAGGATCAGAGGAAATAGACATCTGCAATGCACAGTATTACAGACAAATCCAACTTTCTATGTGAAGAAAAGCCTCTTATTTTTAGTTAGTAATTAAATTTCCTCTTCATATCCACCTGGGTTTTTAGATGCATGTTTTACATTTGGTCCTGACACAGCCCTCCTGTTACGCTGACACAAGGCATTACAGACAGCAGCGGAGGTGTACAGGCGGAATCCGGAGATTAAAGGCTGTGGTGTGGCTGTATACTGCAGATGGCTGTGGACGATTTGAGGCTGGAACCCAAATGCATGAGCTCATAAGTCTTCGGGTGACTTCAGAGAATTAGAGAGGAGGCTCAGCCAGAGCTCGCTGAGGGCAGCTGAAGTCACAGCAAAGCAGAGTAATGGCTGAGTCCTGCAAAAGGCAAGATGGCTTCTTAAACCCTGCTGAAAAAAACACTGAGTGTCTGGAAGGTTTGAGAAGGGAAGTCTTTGGCAGGACCTGGAGGTAAAGCAGGCACTTGTGGAAAAGTTTCATGGTCCATGATCCATGGTCAGACTGACACACCGGGCTCAGCGTGAGTATGTTTCCAGGGTGGTGTCTTGGGAATAAATAGGTAGAGATGAATTGGACGATTGGCTATCTGCCTGGCAGGAGGAGGGCCCAAGTCCTAAGATCCACGGAAGAGCTGCAGTCTCTCATGGGAATTTCATGGTTTCCTGGGGTAAATGAGGGTGGCCAGCCCTCGCCCTTCACGGGTGCACTCTGGGAACCAGGTGGGATCTTCAGGCAAACTAAGTGTGGAAAGCTCAGATCATCTGTGGCACATAGAGGTCCCTTGCAGGTACCCATGTTTGATCCTCGGGTCCATGGTCCCTCCAGTGGACCAGGTACTGAAGGCTATTCTGGACCCACTGGGACTAAAACAAAAGCAGCTGGAAGAAACCCATGGAAGCACAAGGAGAAATGACAAATTCCTTGCAGGTTGCACCCCAGATCTGGAATCGAACCCTAGGGCCCCAGGCCTGAAAGACAACACCGCTAACCACTGTGCCACTGTGCCGCATTTACAAGCCGAATCTACGGCTTGACGTTACCACTTTGTTGCATTGCAGCAGAGGTAATGGTTATTAGCAACACAAAATGATTTTTACAGGATAACATCATGAATGAGGAGCTTAAACATACATTCCTGTCAAACAATGTGCTTAGATAAAACCACAGATCTCGTTCGATCATGCAGTTATTTCTTAAAGTGTAAAACAAAGTACCAATAAAATGCAATAAATCAATTTCAACAGCCTAGTACTATATTTTTATACAATAATTGTATTGTGTCACTTTATCATTTTATATTAGCATTTTCTTTGTCAAACCTGTAATTTTTATTAAGTCTTGTTCTCTGTGGCTGCATGCCAAGTAGTCCTTCAATTTTTGTCAGAGAATCGTTGCTGTCAATCTTTTCTTCAGTCTTGCTAAACTCCCCAAGTGACACAGCTGGCTTTTTTCTTTTCCATCCTCCAGGAACAGATCTGAAAGGCCAACGTGTCACAATAATTTAGGAAGTAGAACAAGATCACTGGGAAACTCAAATGGTATACAGGAAGGATGTAATTAATTAATGCTTATATAAAAAATTGAACACTAAATGCCATTTTTTCCTGTATAAGTTATTTATTCTGAAGAAAATAACTGCAGGACTAGTTACTGTGTATTCCAATTTGCCTTTAGTTGTCGTAGAGCAGGAAAGGACAATTATTTACAATTACTGTAGTTATTTTTGTGTTGATCTTTATAAATATAAATTTTAACCTTGAAAGGTTTTTTTCTCTGAAATACAGTGTACTGTATGTAATAATGCTTCAGTCACAGAAGAAGAAAGTACCTTCCACTGCCTCCTATCAGTGATAAACTACAAGATCTGTTATAAATCAATCTACTTTTTGGAGAACAATATCTAACCTGATCTCAGAGTATCTGGACATCCCCTGTTGTAACATGTTACATGTCACAACATAAGAATAATATAATACCAGAATAGAATACTGTAAAACCATAGTGTATCTTCTCCATTAATGACATGGTTGGAGGAAAACAGAAAACAATTTAATGCAAAAGCTTCAAAAATGACAAGCATATTTAAGACAACATGGCAATGTACCGAGGCACATAGTCTGAAGTCATGTGTGTTATGCAATGGGCACAATCAATCATTCATGTGGTAATAGAACATTATTTGCCCTATTGTTTTGGTACCTGCATGGAGGATAAAAACGTTAGATTTGCTTTAAAATGAGATGCTAATGCGATAAAATAATTCTGCATTCTGTTGTGCATTCATTTTTGATTACAAACAGTTGAACTTTATTCCCTCAGGGTTCCTTGATAGTGTACACACATTTTTTGAGTTATCAAGTGAACAAAAGTGCCTATGTAATGTGTGAAATAAAATGGGAACTAATTTCTGCGGACAATTATTTCAAGAGAAACAGTGAAATACTATGGAACATTTTAAGTGCTGGTTGAAGACCTTGCTTTAATTAGATGCTGTCTTATCTTCATAGAGTGTCTTGCTTTCATTCTAAAAAAGGTAATTGCATTTTCTAGTTTCAATCATGCAGAGCTAGTTAGAACTAGTCAGAGGTAATTGAGGAAGAATACTGTACTGTATATACTGTAAAAGTCTAGTTTTAGAAAAACACAAATAACCCAGAAGCATAAGAGCTGGAAACATTAAATTCATAAGGGGTCCTTTTCATCTGGGTTTGCAAAAAACATATGAAAAACCTTTGCCACATTAGAGGCTTCAGAAAAAAATAAGGCATTCAACATGGTCTCTATCACAAGACCCCATTTCATTTGATGTGACAGAACATATATGCGATGAAGGTGTGGTTATGGTCTAGTGTACTTTTAGACTGAGGGAGTTTTAATTATTGAACAGTTCTTGCTTTTAAGGAAAAGTATTTTTTTCTACCTGACCTGGCAAAGAGATATTGAGGCTGACAACACAGAAAAGCTTTGAGAGCCTTGAGGTCTTATACTCACAGAAATCTGTGATGGGAAAGGTACATGCTGCTCTGCAGGTTCAGCACAATTCAGCACAAACTGGTCGTGAAGTTTCTCTCCCAGGAGAATTAAATATAAATGAAATATTTACATACTGTAGCTCCTGTGAATCTACTCTTGCAGTCTCTTGCAGAATTCACCCTATAAGAAGTCAAAGAAGTCAGAAGGTTTTCTTGTAACATAAGGTCATACATATTCCCTTCATGCTCAATACACATGTATTTTTCCCATGGACAAATGCGTGCTTGATAGAAAGATAGTGCTGTAGGTTCCTAGAGATGTTTAATCCAGACTGCAATGTAATTAATATTTCTGAGCAGAAGGTCATCCAGACATTGATGGTGACTGACACTGGAGTATTGTTTTGGAAAGTACTGGCTGGGTGTCTGTAAAATCAACCAGAGTACTTAAATAAAAAGTGGTAAGGATATACTGTATTATTTTAAAAACATAAAACTAGACTAGACCTTCTGGCTGAGTTTCTCTTATACCAGGCAGTAGCCTATTAAGTAATGGCAGATGGTCAGGATGTATTTTTATTTCTGAAAGAGAAGTCAGGTCTTCTAAAACTTGACTCTGATGGTGTCTAGCCCTGATCCTGGAGAGCCCAAATCCAGCAGGTTTTGTAGGTCATCATTATATCACCTATATCATTATGTTATTTAACCAGGGTTTGGTCTGTGCTGAAAAGTTAAAATATTTTTTCTATAATCTGAAAATAATTATTTTAAATTGCTGAGA